CTAAATGGTAAAATTGTAAATTTTATAAAAAAACCAGGGAAATTTTGAAAATCTAAAATTAATTGGATACTCGCTTCACGTATTATCAAATGGCGGGCAGGTAACGCTTAATCGTATCAACATTTTCTGAATCCGAATTCGTCCAACAATACAGAGTTTTCAAAACCATTTTATCGAAGGGGCACATTATGCCATATCATAAAATGTATACCCTCTTTAGTCGTAAAGCTAAGGGTATAACTGTTACGATTTTTATACCCTCCACCTTGGAAAGGAGGGTATACAGGGTAAGATGAAAAAAACTGCAACCAACTTCAGACTGCTGTCATTTCTAAGCCACTCGTCCGACAGATGTTCAAATTATTCCCGTGGCAGCTCATTACATTGTTTACAAGCGTACAAAAGCATTTTGGTGAGAATTTTCCAGAAAAAAAAAAAAGATATTCGTGATGGAATTCAAGCTGGAAAACCACAAGTGGCTATCGTTAGAGCACTCCAGTTGTGTCTTGTGCCATCGCTTGTTACCGTGATACTGGTAGCGTAGCCCGACGTCAAGGAAGTGGACTTAAGAAAACAGCAACATCAGCAGAAATGGTTCGAAAAGTAAAAAAGCGACTTGGGCCAAAATACCGCAGAGCAACATTCGGGCGGCGTGAGACGGTTTCATTGGCCGTTTGAAGGCCATAATTCGTGCCAAAGGTGACCAATTCGAAAAAATCTAAACTTATTCTAAAATTTGATGCTATTTACGATTTTTTTGCTTTAATTCAAAAAAAAAAAAAAATTAAAAGTTATCTCGTTTGACTTTGTTGCAGTTTTTTTTTATCTCACCTTGTATTAACTTTGTCATTCCGTTTGTAACATCCCTAAATATTCGTCGTAGACCCATAATGTACATATATTCATAATCATAATTTGTCTGTCACACAGCCCACATTATTTGACGTAGGACCCACTTTATTTGACGTAGGGCTCCAAAATTTAGGAGAACAATTTGTATTGTGTCTAGGATGGTTGGTATTGAAAATAAGATATATTGGCAGACGTTTTGATATATCCCCCATATAACGGTATCTCCCGATAGTCGGTATTTTCATGATTTTTGCCATTTGTCTAAAAAATGGTATTTGGGTTGGTCATAACGGGTTCTAGCTCGTATGGAGAAACATTGTATGTAGGTTCACGTTTTGGTATAGTCGCATATAACGGTACCTCCCGATATTCGTTATTTTGATGGTTTTTGCCACATTTTCCCAGGAATTTGTCTAAAAATTGGTGTTTGTGGGTCATAATGGGTTCTAATGTTTCCTTTAACCCAAGGAATTTTTTACTTGCAAATTTTCAAAATAAGAAAAATCTTTATTCTAGGGTATGCTGGGCTAATTGCTTTTATTTATTTTTTATTTCAACTGTCATTCATTACAACAAAATCATCAGAAGCTTCGTACGCAAAACCTTTTACCTGCCACCCTGCAATTAAATGATAAAGAGATTTTTAGCATTATAAAACAATCGTTTAAAATGTTTAATTAAATAAATTAGTACGTACCAAAATTCCGTTCAGTAAATCGGTGACCACATTTAAAATTGGTTCGGGTAATGGTTCGGGTTTTGGTTCAGGTTTAGCCTCAGCCGAGCTAATGGCCAAAACCATGGCAACGGCAATTGCGAAAATGCTGGTGAATTTCATTGTATTTTGGTGTTTAACTGCCAACTGTTGAACTGATGTCGGGTCTCAAATCAAGGATTCTTTTTATAGCTAATCCGAAGCCTATTTTCAATAATCGATGAAATGTTATAATTAAATCCGACTTCTATTGTTGAAGTCAAGTCAATTGGAAAAGAAAAGAATGTTTGTTTTTTTTTTTTTTTAATTCAATGCAGGTTTTCTGCATGTCTATTTTTAATGAAAAGGTATTTCTTCAAAGTTCAAGGTTTGTATTTGTTTGATAAAACAGCAATTATAACTCAAAAACATCTGTTGAAAAAACAATTCTACACAAAAATAATAAAATAATTATCATGTTTGGAATGCCACACAAAAATAAAGAACAATGCATGCATCGAATTAATTAATTTTTTTTAACAACTTTCTTCTAAATTGTATTGGGGGAAACCCAAACTAATAGAGATATAAAATGTAAAAAGAAATCAGATCGGATTCTAGTTTTGTAAAGTCGATTGTTAAATATGACAAAACAGGGGGTATCTGTATCAAGATGTAGACATATATTGATGGTAGTATTTGGTGAAAATACCAAACAATGGCAAAATCTAATCGAAATATGTTCAAACAAGTTAGAAAGAATCAGTCGGTCTTGTCGACAGATGTATACCCACATCCAATGTTCGTACGTATTTAAATATACTTTGATTTGTGTAATGATTATTTAAATTGTTGACCCCTTATGGAGTAGGTTCCGAAGGAATTAGCGATATAAATATTGCAACGTGCCTGATTTAGACTATATTGGGTACTTCTTTCACTTTATATGAGATATGTGATAATTTTTAGAAAATACCAAAATGTGCGTGATGTACTAGACCGAAGTATTCCATTTTAATTTTTCATAAGTTCGTAAAACGCGAAATAAACATCCGATTCCATTTAGGCATGGTCCATTTGAATATTTCTGTCAAGACATGATCTGTTATAAAGATGGTAGAGATCGGACCATTCCTTCTGGTACCTACCCCACAAAGGGTCAAAGTTTTGAATAGCCAAAACCTTTGTAAAATCCGAAATAAGCATCAGGTTCTCTTTAGATTTCACACATTCCATTATTTCTATTAACGCAATATCAGTGGTGAAGATGGGATATATCGGTACTTCAGAACCAACTCCATAGATGGTCAAGAGTTTGAATAATCATAACAGAAGTCAAAATATATTTAAATAATCCAACATTGGCGGTATACGTCTGTCGGAAGAACCGACTCATACTTTTTAACATGTTTTTGAAAAATTTGGACCTTTTTTGGTGGAGATAACAGAAGGAGTGGACCGACATTGCCCATCTCCGAACTCGATCTAAGTTTGATAAGTAACAATAAACAATAAGTAACTAAGTAACAAGGTTAGACCTAATCGGATGCTCCCTTCGAGAGTTATCGTGCGTACCAGTCAGACTGACAGACGGACGGACGGATATCGTTAGATCGACTCCAAATGTTCGGTGGCGGATTTGGTCCAAAGAGACCTAGGGTGTAAAACCCTTATTTCGATGAGGCACGTTTTGTCCGTATCAAATGATATATAAAAAATTCAAACAAATAAGCAAAGACTCAAGTTGGCCTATATCGAGAGTAATCGTCATGTATAGGTAATTTCGCTTGAGAGTGCTTACAGTGTCAAAAAATTCGCGGTTGATGGAAATTTTGGCATTTATCAAATATTAATAACAAATAAATTGTCTATGAATTTTATTCGATGACCTTCTAGAACCTAAGGTGTCTGGCCTAACCTATGCAAAATTCTGCGACGGTTGGTCAATAACTGTGACCTGTAAATCGACTGTAAAGTTCGAAGAAAAATGTTATCCATTTTATTTGATAAATATTTTGCTGTCATGTTTAAGTAAGGCATGACCCATAACATAGACCCCACAAAAAAGGTGTTAAGTCGTACCATCAAGACGGTCAATTGAACGGTCCTGGACGTGAAATGTCCACCCAAATAGTATCACAATAAGTCTATTGTTACGCGAACTGTGTGGCATGTGGCCCCGTCTTGTTGATTCCACTTGTCATGTTAACTTACGAATCGCGGCATCTTTGAAGAACAACGTTCCTATCCTGATCTTCAATCCAAAATCGACAACTCTATTTAATTACGTTCCCATGAGCCAAAAATAAGCTTCGTCGGGAGACAAAAAAAGATGGAAAACAATTTTTCGTTAAACAAAAAAGAGGATATTCGGCCAAATTACCCATTCTCCGAAAATATTGCGTTGCCGTATTTTGATCGGCTTCAATTAATGCACCAGCTGTTTTTATAGAGGTTTCAAAACTAAACCACTACGCAAAAAAAAAATCTGCGCGAATAGCCGCTTCATTGGGTTGATTAAACTTCTGATTGGAAGAAGCGGGATGAACTTTCTTAACAAAGCAAGGATTTTAATAAAAAAAGTCAATGATTGATGAAAAGTTGTTCGTTTCTAAGACGATTCATTGTTAAACTGAAGATATTTGGCAGTGAAACAAGAAACATGCATACGCTTTTTAATCCAGTGTTGCCAAAAAGATAGTAGCTAAAAAATCACCCTTCATATTCTTAATAACGATCAAACACGTGTTTGGCCTCTAAGTCTTTAGAGTTATATCTTTTCTTAACTATTGCAATGTACAAACTTTGCTCCAACTCGGAAATCAGATCGTCTTAAGTAAAATACATCTTTGATCTATTGTAAGAGAGGTACCAGAAGGTGTGGGTCGCTCCTTACCTTAATTCTTTACAAATATTACGAAGTGGCAAAATGGAAACGTGGACATATACGAGTATATACATACAATGTTCCGCCACCGAAGCTATAACCCATTATGAACTATAAATGCCAATTTTTGGATAGATCCATAACAAAAAGTAACTAAAACCATCAAAATATCGAATATGGACAGGTGCCGTTATATGGGGCTTAACAAAAATGAGGACCTATATGTACAATGAACTACAAATGCCAATTTTTGTACAAATCGGTGAAAAAATGTGGCAAAAATCATCAAAATACCAAATATCGGAAGGTATCGTTATATGGGGGCTATCTCAAAACTTGGGCCGATATATGTCATTTTCAATACCAACCATCCTAGACAATACCTACTACCGTGCCAAAGTTTAAAGGGTCTATGAAGAATTTTTAGAGATGTTACAAACGGAATGACAAATATAATCCTCCTTTCCAAGATGGAGGGTATAAATATAAAAAATTAATTATTAATTAATTTCCAAAATAGTGTCAAATAAAAGAATTTATTAAGAATTGTTGAAGTTGAAGTAAGTGATTTTATTTTTTCAATTTTCATGTATAACGATCACGGCGTTCCGTGCAAGCAATTCCATTTACCTGCCGCCCTGCAATGACATAAGGAGTAAATGTTAATAATCTCCATGCAATTATGTTTCAACGCAAACAATACGTACCAAAATACCGCTAAGTAAATTGGTGACGACATTTAAAATTGGCTCCGGTAATGGTTCGGGTTTTGGTTCAGGTTTAGCCTCGGCTGAGCTAATAGCCAAAACCATGGCAACGGCAATTGCGAAAATGCTGGTGAATTTCATTGTATATTGATGTTTACTGGCAATTGTTGAACTATAGTCGGGTCTCAAGTTTAGGATTCATTTTATAGCAAATCCGAAGCCTATTTTCAATAATCAATTAATATTAAATATTATAATTAAGTACGACTGCTATTGTTGAAGTCAATTCAGAATTGCAAATATTATTGCAAAAGAAAATATTGTTTGTTTTCAACTGAAACTGAATTCATGCGATTTTTTCGAAATGGAGTTTCTCTAAAGTTCAAGGCCTTAATTTATTTGTATAAGCAGCAATAATAAATCAAACATAATTTTTGAAACAGAAATTCTACGCAAAGGTGGTAAAGAAATAATTCACAGAGTCAGGAATGCCAACTAGAAAATTAAGAAATAATTATAATAGGATAATTGTTTTTACTATATCCTTTTGTGGAGGTTATATTATCTTTGTCATTTCGTTTGTAACTTTCTCGAACTACTAATGATAGACCTTACAAAGTACATATATTCTGGATAAGCAGAAAATTCTAAGTCGATTTAGCCATGTCCGTATGTGTGTCTGTTGTAATCCTTCTGTATGTCCTGTTAAAACCTTTCGAACGAATTGAGATAAGAAGGCTAAAATTTTTCACACGTATGTAGGCTAGTTATGTTCGTAAATAGCTCATGTCGGTCCACGTTTTCGTATAGCCCCCATAAAACGATACCTCCCGATATTCAATATTTTCATGATTTTAGCGACATTATTCACCAGAATTGCTTCAAAATATGTATTTAAAGTTTATAATGGGTACTGCACCCTTTGACAAAAAAACTTCTTCATATAACTCCAACTCCGATTTGGTCCAAACTTGGTACATCGTAAAATTTTTGTCAAACTTAGATCGAGTTCGGAGATAGGCTATATCGGTTCACTGCTTCTGGTACCTCCACCACAAAAGGTCGAAAATTGAAAAAAAAAAAATATTTTCTACGCAGAAACGGAAATGATAATCCGATTTTGCTCCAACCTAACAAATCCCAATATTTGCTTTAGGGCTAGGTCAGGTGCGAAAATGAACAATATCCGTCCACTCTATCAAGTGCCTAGCCCACAAAGGCTCAACATTTTGAATAATTACAACTCTTATAAATTATGATGTAAGAGTCCGACTGCTTTCAAATTTCACACATCCCAATAATTTTATTGACTTAAGGTCTTGTGTTAAGATGGAATATATCGGTCCACTCCTTATGGTACTTCCCCCACAAAAGATCGAAATTTTGAATATCCATGAAGGTCATAAAACGTGGAATAAACATCCGACTCCGTTTAGACATGACACATCTGAATGTTTCTATCCACACAGGATCTGTCATAAAGGCGGTAGAGATCGGACCATTCCTTCTGGTACCTCCTCCACAAAGAGTCATAGTTTTGAATAACCAAAAGTTTATAAAATCCGAAATAACGCAAGATCTGTTGTGAAGATGCGATATATAGGTCGTCTTTTAGTAGCTCCCCCACAAAGGGTCGAAATTTTGAATTTCCAGTAAGCCCATAAAGCGCGAAATTACAATCCCATTCCATTCAGACATCTCAATATTTCCATTAACACAAGATCTGTTATAAAAATGGTAGATATCGGACCGTTTCTTCTGGTACCTCCCCCATAGGGTTGAGAAAACAAAAGCTCAAAGCCAAATAAGCCTACAACTCCTTTCAAATTTCACACATACAAACATTTTTGCGAACACAAAATCTGTTATGAAGATGATATATACATATAGGGTGAGATAAAAAACTGCAATAAAATCAAACGCCATAATATTTTATTTTTTCTTTCAGGTTTTATTGAATGAAAGCAAAAAAAATTGGGGAATAGCATAAAATTTTACAATAATTTCAGATATGTTCGAATTGTTTACCTTTGCACGAATTATGGCCTTCAAACGGCCAATATGGTGCTGAGTCCTGTTGGAATATCCAAGGTCTGTGGCCAAAATGTTTGCGTGCCCAAGGCTTTAATACACCCTCCAGAATATTTTCGCGATTAATACGAGCGGAGAGCGACCATCGGCTGTTATGGCGACCCACACCATCACCATGGCCGGCGTTTGAGGTCTGATGGCCAACCACAGGTGCACATTTTCAGCTGACCTCTTTGGCAAGTAGACACGATCATTCTGTTTGTTTACAAACTGCTGGACAACGAATGTTTTCTCATCGGAGAAAACCAAATTCGGCAGTTCACTACTTTCGGCCAAGCGCAACAACTCTTTAGCTCTTTTGAGTCTATTTTCTTTCTGTTGCGGTGTAAGTTCTAGCCCTTTTTGGAATTTCAATGGCTTTACCCGAGCTCATTTTTCAATATTTTCCGAATGGAATATTGCGACATGTTCAGCTCACGAGTCATTTTTCGGCCACTGCGATGCGGTTTTCGATCAAGCCACTTCCTTACTTTTCGAACCATTTCTGCTGATGTTGCTGTTTACTTCCGTCCACTTTCGGTAACGAGCGATGGTACGAGACACAAAAGATTTATTCACATTTAAATGCTGGAGTACTCTAACGATAGCTACTTGTGGTTTTCCAGGCAAATATAAAAAAATCACACTATCACGCTTGAATTCCATCACGAATTATTTTTTTTTTTTTGGAAAATTCGCACCAAAAACCTTGTAAACAATATAATGAGCTGTCACTGGAATAATTTTAGCAGCTATCGGACGAGTGGCTTCGAAATGATAGCAGTCTGAAGTTGGTTGTTATTTTTTCATCTCACCCTGTATAAGCTAAATATAAATATTTCTCTCAACTAGAGATTGTATATGAATTATTTATTTATCAGCCCACTCTTTCATGTACATCCCTTACAAAAGGTTAAAATGGTGATTAACAATTATTCGCATAAGGATGGAAATAAATTTGGTATCCTTCGGTCTACCATATCTGGCTCGTTCATTTCAATATATCTTACATGAAGTGGGTAAGTAGTCGAATATTTATGCAAATATTTATATCAGACTTGTATCAGGTACTCCTTTGGAACTTCTCCGATAATGTATCAACAGTTTGAATAACAAGTAAGCAAAGGCTACAGTCGAGCGGGGCCGACCGTTGAATACCCTACAACACTATAATAAACGATACAGTTTATATAGGCGGGATATGTACTCGAAAGAATTCCACAAGATATTGTGACAAATAATAAAAGAAAACCATCAGGTTTCGTTCTCTAATTTTCGAATAATAGCAACTTAAACTAATTTGCTCATTTCCAATTTATTGGAAGATGTTGCACGTAAATGGTCTTCCTAGATATGGAACCAGTATTTCCCAAAGACCTATAAAATCTCAGTAGTGGCAATAGATTAACATTTATTATGAGTTTTTGACTGAAACGCATCTATATGAGATACATACGACAATTTTGCAGTTTTTTGGTCCATTTCAACCCCTAAATATATGGCGATCATCTCCAAAAAGAGTAGGCTTCTATTCTGACCCTCATCTTATCCCCATGCAAAATTTCGTAAGGATCGGGCCATAAATGCGATCTGTATATGATATCCTAACTACTTAGTTTTGTTAGCTGTAGAAATATTACCAAATGTTTAATTCAAAATGAAAATATGCCAAAAATATGACAAAATTAAAAAAAAATATGAGAAAATGTTACAAAATCAATATTTTCATCTTTAGAGAGATATTTTTATGCGATTTTTTTAGACGTTTTTTCTTTCCTGTCAATAGAATTAATGAGAACTGTCGAAATCAGTACAGCCGTTCTCGACATATAAGAGATCTTTCAAGCATATCTTCTTTGATAGACATATATATCGCACATATATTGCTATATATCTGATTTGTTGGATGTTAACATCAATGTAAAGGTCAGAAGTAACCTTGTGATGGCTTTGTGATTTCGCCGGGATTTAAAATAGTCACGGTTTAATGAATTTTGAATTTTTTTCAACACAAAAGTTATGGTCTATTTGGTCCATTTCAACACCTAAACATTTGGCGATCATCTCCAAAAGAAATAGGGTTCTATTCTGGTCCAAGCCCCACTTACATTCTAAATTTCGTGAAGATCGGGCCATAATTGCGACCTGTAGAGTGATTACAAATTAACATGGACAGACGGACAGACGGACGGACGGACATACATAGCTAGATCGACTCAGCTCGGTTAGCTAGGAAGATCCATATATACTTTCCTATGTGGGAAACCAATATTTAGAGGTGTTACATAAATTCTGGCCCAATCAAACTTATAATACCCCCAACACATAGTGTTGTAGGGTATAATAATAGCGCAAGTTAAATACACGAAAATTGCCTGAGGGTATTCATCTGTCGGCAAAACAGACGGAATAGCATAAAACTTGTTGTTAAAAATTTCGATATCGAAGAGTCTATTTTTATGTTACTTATCTTCCAGTCCAAAAATTGGAGGAAGAAATGGATGTAGAAATATTCAATTTATAAAGACGAAATATTGATCACAAAATGCCACATATTAAGGACAACGATCAGCAAATTCACCACTATTTAAACTGGAAGGATCGCCACAGAGCGAATCTCTCCTGCGGGTTTTTTAATATACCATACAAGGCCTTTCATTCCCAAAACATATCTTCCACCCCCACTCTTTGACTCTCATTTTGTGTCACAGTGTTATTTTAATAAAAAAACATGTTTTATTACTCATAATTTTTTTTTGTGGAATTTTTATTTATTTACTTTTGAAAATCCGCCAAAAACCTTATTTGCCCTGCAAAAAGCAAATAAAAATATTTTTAGTTTATATAATAAAGAGAAAACATCGTATTTTTGAACACTCACCATGAAGATGGGATAAAAGGGTTTTGCTTCAGGTTTCGGTTCAGGATCGGCTTTAGCTGAGGCAATGGCCAAAAGTAAGGTAGCAGCAATAATTGCAATGTTGTAGAATTTCATTTTGGAAAAGTTTTCACCGTCAAAAAATAATTTGTGAACTGATGATTGAAAGCAGTTTTCATTCGGATTTATAGGAATTTTAAATAACGCAGCAATTTTTGTGCAATTGTTTCATTTAATATTTGTTTGCAATTCAACAAAACAAAATTGCACCTGCCATAATATAATTCATTTGTTTGTAATAACTTCTTGCAAACTCGGAAATCCCTCTGTAAAAAAATTCCGAAACCTGGTTAAAACATTGCTCTTTGAAATTTGTTTTTAATTCAGTTCTAAAAATCGCACAATTTTTATTATGATTATTATTAATATTATTCTTTAAAAGTAAATATTTTATTTCCAAAAAGTTCTTTAAAATGTTCTGACGAAATTCATGATTCTTGTGCCCAATGTCCTTGAAATATCCCTAAATATTTGATACTTTAAATTTCCATTTCCCTCGAATATTGGAAAATGTAGTCATGATATTCGCAAAAACTAAAATGGACATTTTTAGTAGCATATCTGCATAATAAGAACCCAAAATATCAAATTTTAGTGAAATTTAATGGAAATTATTACAAGTATCAGTTGGTTTTGCCGACTAATTGTTGACTCTTTATGGGGAGGTTCCGAAGCAGTTGGCTAATATTGACCAATTTGTACCTGACCTAAGTCTGATATAAATATTACAACGTGACAGATTGTGGTGTGTGTAATTTGAAGGGACCCGGATATTTATTTCGGATTTTATGATCGTTTTAGTTATTCAAAATTTTGACCCTTTGTAGGGGAGGTACCAGAAGGAGTGGTGTGATCCCTACCATCTTTATAACAGACCTGGTGTTGATAAAAATATTGAGATGTGCCAAGTCTGGATGGAATCGGATTTTAATTTCGTGTTTTATGAGCTTCATGTATATTCAAAATTTTAATCTTTGTGGAAGAGGTACCAGAAGGAGTGGACCGATATAATCCATATTCACACCAGACCTTGGGTTAATAAAATATAGTGATGTGTGTAGTTCGAAGACAATCGGACACTTACATCACATTTTATAAGAGTTATAATTATTCAAAATTTTGACCCATTGTGGGGGAGCTACTTGATATTGTCCATATTCGCATATTGCCTCATCGAAATAACGAATTTAGACCCTAGGTTTCTTTGGACCAAATCCGTTTCAGTACATTTGGAGTCGATCTAGAGGTGTCCGTCCGTCCGTCTGTCTGATTGAGCACACGATTACTCTAGAAGGGAGTATCCGATTTGGCCCAAACTTGGTACATCGAAACATTATTATCAAACCTAGATCGAGTTCTGAGATGAGCAATATCTGTCCACTCCTTCTGTACCTCCCCCGAAAACGGCCAAAATTTCAAAGAGAATATTTTACTGCACAGAAAGAGAAAGGATGATCCGATTTCGCTCCAACTTTGCAAATCGTAACATTTGTATCAGTGCTACTTCATGTGCGAAAATGGTTGATGCGCACTATAACTCTCAAAGGGAGTATTCGATACGAAATGGACATATATATCCAAGTTTTACTCTAGACCCCATATAAATGTACCTTCAGATATTCAGCATTTTAATGATTTCAGTCACAGTTTTCACCGGAATTGTACCTTCTTCACGGGGGTACTACCTTCTATGACAGAAAATGACGTGTACTGATCTACGCCCTCGTATGACCACTCAATATTCGGTATTGTGATGAATTTGGCTACATTTTTCTACACAATTATCTCAAAGTCGGAATTTGAATTGAGTGTACAGATCCAAACCTTCGTGTAGGCCTCCTATAACTGTACCTGGTATTTTGAGAATTTAGCGACATTTTCAACAAAGTTTTCATATAACAACATAGAATTAAAAAAATAAAAATTATAATGATATTTTTAAACAATTTTTTTCCATTTTGCTAGGATGTTAAAAGTTCGGCCTGAACGAAATTACCTGTTTTTATACCTTCCACCATAGTATAGAGGGTATATTAAGTTTGTCATTCCGTTTGTAACACCTCGAAATATACCTTTTAGACCCCACAAAGTATATATATTCTTGATCAGCATAAGATTCTATGTCGATTTATCAATGTCCGTTCGTCTGTCCGTCTGTGGAAATCACTCTAGCTTCCGAACGAAATGAAGTAGGTTGATAAAATTTTACTCAAATGTGTATTATGTCTGCAGGACTTTTGGTATTGAAAACGGGCCATGTAGGTCCACGTCTTCGTATAGCCCCCATATAACGGTACCCCGATATTCAGTATTTTGAAGATTTTAGCGACATTATTTACCGGAATTGTTTCGAATTTGGTATTTGAAGTTCGTATAAAACAGAAAATGGGCCAAGTAGGTCCACTTCTTCGTATAGCCCCCATATAACGGTAACCTCCGATATTCGGTATTCTGATGATTTTACCGACATTATTTACCGGAATTGTTTAAAATTTCGCATTTGAAGTTCGTAATGGATACTACAGCCTATGACAAAAAATTGTCTGTTCAAGTCCATGTTTTACAACTCCCATGGTTCCTCCCTATATTCGGAATTTCGATGATTTTAGCTACATTATAAACAGATTTTTTTTTTCAAGTTTCGCATTTGAATATTGTAATAGCTTGTGATAAAAGTTGTCTAGGCAGTTCCACGTCGTCGTACAGACCCCAATATACGGCTACATTCGGTATTTTTAAAATTTTACAGAATTTTTAATGGATTTTATTTTGGAAATACTATGGAAATCACTCTAGCTTCTGAACAAAATGAAGCAGGTTGACAAAATTTTACTCAAATATATATTATGTCTGAGGGACTTTTGGTATTGAAAATGGGTCATTTAGGTCCACGTTTTTGTATAGCTGCCATATAATGGTACCTCCCTATTTTCTGTATTTTGGTGATTTAAGCGACACTATTCACCGGAAATGTTTCAAATTTGTTCTTTGGAATTCGTAATGGATAATACAACCTTTTGTCTGTGCCGGTCCACGTCTTCGTATAGACACCCATACAAAGGTACCTCCCGATATTCGGTATTCTGATGATTTTAGTGTCATTATTCACCGGAATTATTTAAAATTTTGTATTTGAAATTCGTAATAGATACTACAGACTAAGACAGAAAATTGCCTGTGCAGGTCCACGTTTTGGTATTTTAATGATTTTAGCTACATTATTTACCGATTTTTTTCAAGTTTCGCATTTGAATATTATAATGGCTTATGGCAAAAGTTGCACATGCAGGTCCACGTCTTGTATAGACTCTAATAAAATGGCCACATTCGGTATTTTTAAGATTTTAACAGAATTTTTAGCGGATTTTAATTTTTTTTTGGACAATTGGCAAATTCGTTCCAAATGGTGGAGGGTATTTAATGTTCGGCCCGACCGAACTTACAGCTTTTTTACCTGTTTTACTTAGCGTTACTCTCATAATACACTGAATTTTCCCTTTAATTATTTTCTATGTTACACAGTGTTATTATACCCTCAGACTTAAGACTACATTGGGTCTAACAGTCATAATTGTCATATGATTTGTAAGATATTAATCGGTTCTTATATGATATTTTCAGATTCCATGGATTAACCCCGCATTACCTTCAAATGTTTTTCTACACTAAATTCATGAATTATTCTTCAGGCAAGTTCATTTTAATATTTGTTTTTTTTTGCCATTTTTGTTTAGGTATATATAGAACTATCAAAGACCAATTTACCCTAGATAAGACTTCATTTTTAAGGTACCACAATCAAAATTAGAGACAATTTAAGAGCAAAAAAAAAAAGTATTTCTTATATAATTTTATTAAAACATCATATATTTTTGTCATTCGTTAAACATGGAAATTTAAAGAAATGTTTATCGGCCACCCTACAAAAAAATATAAATATACGAATTATTCAATTCAATCAAAGGGGTAAGCTCCCATATAACAATGCACTCACCAAAAGTCCACCAAGAAGATCAGTGACAATATTCAAAATAGGTTCGGGCAATGGTTCTGGTTTTGGTTCGGGCTTAGCTTCAGCCGAGGCAAAGGCCAAAATAATTGAAGCAGCAATGACGAAAATGTTGTTGAAATTCATTGTATTGTTGTTTTAGACAGCAAGAGATTGACTGATGATTCTAGGAATGACTTCGATCACCTTTTATATTCGAATTTAGTCTTATGTTCGATGTTATTAACCTCTGGGAAATAAAAACAATTTGCAAGAATGCACCATTTCTAAGGAGTTAAAGCAAGTATAAGTAAGTATTATTATTATTAATGAATTGTATTCCTATCTAACAAATGTCTCATTTTAATGATCAGAATAACCTTGAAAATTGTTTGTTTTTTTTTAACAATCTAAATTTTTTAGCAATCTAAAGTGCAAGAAATAAATAAGAAATACCTTAAATATAAATATAAAAACAAAGAAATTGTTGCCTTTTCAAACATGGATAGAACAAATAAAAAATCTCTTTGTATCACATGAAACTCTATAGGGCAAGAATAGAACCTGTTATTTTTGAAGATTATCGCCTGTTATTTTTGAAGATGATCAAATTAGGGGTTGAAATGCTCTACAGATCCCCCATATAACGGTACCTCCCGATATTCGGTATTTTCATGATTTAACGAAATTATATATCGGAACTGTTTTATATTTCATATTTAAAGTTCGTAATGGGTAATACAGCCTACGACAAAAATTTATTCATGCAGGTCCACTTCTTCGTATAGCCCCCCATATAACGGTACCTCCCGATATTCTGTATTTTGATGGTTTCACCAACATTATTCACCGGAATCGTTTTTGGGTACTACAACCTAATCGCTAATGGGTACCACAATCTATGACAAAAATTTTCGTATGCAGGTCCACGTCTTTGTATAGCCCCCATATAATGGGGGCGACATTATTCACCGGAATTATTTATAATTTCGTATTTGAAGCTCGTAATGCGTACTACAGCCTATGACAAAAATTTTTGTATGCAGGTCCACGTCTTCGTATAGCCCCCATATAACGGGGGCGACATTATTAACCGGAATTATTTCTAATTTCGTATTTGAAGCTCGTAATGCGTACTACAGCTTATGACAAAAATTTATGTATGCAAGTCCACGTCTTCGTATAGCCCCCATATAACTGTACCTCCCGATATTCGGTATTTTGATGATTTCAGTAACATTATTCACCGGAATTATTTCAAATTTCGTATTTGAAGTTCGTAATGGGTACCACAGCCTATGAAAAAAAGTTATGTATGCAGGTCTACGTCTTCGTATAGCCCCCATATAACGGTACCTCCCTACAACACTATGTGTTGGGGGTATTATAAGTTTGATTGACATTTGAGTTAAATAAAATCAAATTTTCCATTAAACCGCGAATATTTTTAATCCCAGCGAAATCACAAATAGACGAACAGGTCAATCCAGACCGTTACGTAGATGCCGATAGTAAATATTTCGGATACATATAGCGGAATATATAAAATGTGTATATACAAAGGAAGGGGGTGTTAGCTAAAATGCTTATATCTCAAGAATGGCTGAACCGATTTTGACAAATTTTGTCAATCCAGAATGCGTTCATGGCATAAATGGAGAAAATCTAAAGAAACGCATAAAAAGACGCCTATAATGATATTAATATAGATTTTTTAGTATTTTGTGACATATTTTTATTTTTTCATATTTTTTATCGCATGAGATTTTTCAATTTGACTTATAATATTAAAGTGTATATTTTGTAATATTTTGTTACCTTACAACACAGGTTGGGGATATTGTATATATATATTGCAATTATCGTCAGATCCTCACGAAAAGGGTAGGGTTAGGCTCAGAACGGCTAGGCCTATTATTTTTAAAGATGTCCGCAATTTATTTAGGAGGTGAAATTGACCAACAAAACATGTTCCTGATTTTGCAGCCGTTATAATACAAATAGAAACCAAACGATACAAAATCTCGCATGAAGTTAGAGTTAAGGACTCTGGGTAGAGTTAAGGACTCTGTGTAAAAAATACCAGCATTACTTACAGGCGATATCCGACGAAAGCCAAATATCGTAGACAAGAAAATCATATAGTTGAGTCTAAATTTGGAGATTCAGAGGGGCCTCTTGCTTTTGGAGAAGGTTCAAATGAACCAAAAACAGAAAAAAAATCCTGATACACAATTGAATCCATTCGACATGCCTGGGAAGAGCGGTAATGATATGGAAGAATTCTAGCATTTTTGTGTGACATACTTTCAAAAGCAAAATCTTCCAAAATGGATTAGGACATAAGAGGGCTTCTAACATGTTGTAGTGTTGTAGGGTATCACATGGTCGGCCCCGAACGACTATAGCTTTTGCTTACTTGTTTTTTTAAATTTGTCAAGTTCCTTCCAAATGGTCGAGGGTATTATAAGTTCGGCTATGTCGAACATAGCTGCTTTTTATTTGTTTTTCCTCCAGGAGCGTAAAATTTTCTTTGAAATCGTCTGAAAGTATATATGGGTGCTATATCCAAATCTGTACTGATTTTAATATAATTTTCAAAATTTATTTTGATACCAAATTTCGTTACATATTCAGAATTTCATTAAAATTGGATCATCATTGGCATCAAAAATACGAAATAGGCCGAAAATATATATGGAAGCTATATCCAAATCTGAACCGATTTCAATATAATTTGGCAAAATTATTTTCTGATCATATTCCTTCACTCATAACAAATTTAAAAATTTAAAATTTAAATTTTATTGGGATCGAACATACATATGGCGTTTGGTGCATCAAATAAACGAAATAGAATAGATCGAAATCTGAACTGATTTCAATATAGTTTGAAAAATTAATTTTTATACTAAATTCCACCACACATTCTAAATTTCATTGGAATCGGATATATACAGGGTGCGATGAGAAAACTGCAACCAACATCAGACTGCTGTAATTTCTATGCCACTCGTCCGACAACTATTAAAATTATTCCAGTGACAGCCTATTATATTGCATACCAATGTACAAAAGCATTTTGTTGAATTCAAGCGTGATAGTGTGATTTCTTTATATTTGGCTGGAAAACCACAAGTGACTATCATTAGAGCACTCCAGCATTTAAATGTGAATAAATCTTTTGTGTTTCGTACCATCGCTCGTTACCGTGATACTGGTAGCGTAGCCCGACGTCAGGGAAGTGGACGGAAGAAAACAGCAACATAAGCAGAAATGGTTCGGAAGGTAAAAAAGCGACTTGATCGAAACCCGTGTCGCAGTGGCCGAAATATGGATCGTGGGCTGAACATATCGCAATATTCTATTCGGCATTCCAAAGAGTGCAAGAACTTACAACGCAACAGAAAGAAAATAGACTCAAAAGAGCAAAATAGTTGCTTCGCTTGCCCGAAATTTCTGAACTGCCGAATTTGATTTTCTCCGATGAGAAAACATTCGTTGTCCATCAGTTTGCAAACAAACAAAATGATCGTGTTTACTTGCCAAAGAGGTCGGCTGAAAATGTTCACCTTCACCTGATGGTGTGGGCCGCCATAACAGCCTCTCCGCTCGTATTAATCGATCCGCATCAGAATAAATAAATGTATTAAAGCCTTGGGCACGCAAAAATTTTGGCCGCAGACCTTGGGACATTCCAACAGGACTCAGCACCATCGCACTCAAAACGCGCCACCCAAGAATGGTTACAAAATGAGGTTACTCGCTTAATTTCCATCGCACAATTAACACCAAAATCTTCGGATACCAATCCGTTGGACTATTGTCATTGGAGTATTTTGGAAAGCAAGGTTGGCACTAAAAAATACCAAAGTTGCGAACACCTCAAGCAAGCGCTTCGCCGGGAATAGACCAAAAAACCGCAGAACAAAACTCGGGCAGCATGTGGCGGTTTTATTGGCAGTTTGAAGGCCATAATTCGTGCCAATTTTCGAACAATTTTAAACTTATTCTGAAAATTGATGCTGTTTCCGACATTTTTTGCTTTTATTTATTAAAAAAATCGTTTTCGTATAGCTTCATATAATTGTACCTCCCCATATTCACTATTTTAAATATTTATACCTAATTTTACTATATTCCTAACTACGTTTATATTTGTTTACACTACTCTAATACCAAATTCAGTGTGTATTTGTAGTTTTTATACACTATATACTATGCACTAGCAAATCTATTTGTTTATCCAAAAGCAACACGATCACAGTGACTCTAGTACCAACATTCAAACTCCCACCTTTTTTCTGAACTTAGTACCGCCAGCACACTGTAGAGCATACATTTCCAAAAACGGTCCCTTTAGCAATATTTAACTCATTTAGTATAATTCTTACACCATTCCAAGACCACCTGCAATGGAGGGTATATTAACGTTGTCATTCCGTTTGTAACATCCCTAAATATTCGTCGTAGACCCCATAAAGCGATTTAACGATGTCCGTCTGTCTGTCCGCAGAACAATTTGTATTGTGTCTAGGATGGTTGGTATTGAAAAGGAGGTATATCGGTCCACGTTTTGGTATAGCCCCCATATAAAGGTACCTCTCGATATTCGGTATTTCGATGATTTTTGCCACATTTTTTCAAGGATTTGTCTAAAAAATGGTATTTGTAGGTCATAATGGGTTCTAGCTCCGTCATTTTATGTATAGGTCTAAGATTTTATATAGCCCCCTATATAGCAGTACCCGCAGATATTCGGTATTTTGATGCTTTTTGCCACATTTTTCCAAGAATTTGTCTAAAAATTGCAATTCGGGCAATGGTTCAGGTTTTGGCTCCGGTTTAGCTTCAACCGAGGCAATGGCCAAAATCATTGAAGCGGCAATAAAGAAGACTTTGTTGAATTTCATTTTGATAGAAGGATTTGGATGAATTGATGGATATTGGAAGATCGTTATTCGATTATATAGCAAAATGTGGCTCAAGCTTGCAGTTATTTACCGTTCAAAAGTAAATAATGTACGGAATGTATCTATTGTCAATGAAGAACACATTGAAATGTTAAAAATATTCAGACTTTTAAAGTTGAATGAAATGAGTTCTAAAATTCAAGGTTATTCAATTGATTGATTTGATATTCACTTCAAACATACAAATAAGGGATAATAAATAATTTCTAAAAATAATCCAAGCGGTCGTTGCCATTACAAACACCAATGTTTATTCCTTTCATACAGCAATGGTCGGAGAATCGAAATTTTGTACAACAATGGTTATGATCGAAAGAAAGAAGGAAAAGTCTTTAGGCTAATTTGCCGACAGATGTATACCCTCAGGCACTATCCCTTTAATTTAATATATTGTGTCTTATGATTATTCAAACTATTGACTCTTTGAATAGGGAAAGCCTGAATAGAGAACATCGAACAATTATTTTATAATAGTAATTGTTAATGAAAATGTAAAACTCTTATGAGGAAGTACGATAAGGTACGATAAATTTGATATTCACATCAGATCTCTGGCTGAGAGAAATTTTTGATATACCAAGTTTGAAAAGAATCGTTGACTTGTTTCCCGAGCTATAAGAGATATATGTATTGAATATTGCCACCCTTTGTGAGAAAGGTACAAGGAGGGGTGGACCGATACCTGTCCTCTTCACACCAGATTTTGCGTTAGTAAAAATATTGAAATTTGTGAAATTTAAAGAGAATCGGGTGCTTATTTCGCACTCTATCAGATTTTTTATTATTCAAAATTTTGACCCGTTGTGGGGGAGGTATCATAATTTGTGGTCCGATATATTCCATCTCCACATCAGATATTGCGTTTATAGAAATATGGCGATGTGCCGCGTTTAAAAGATATCGGTTGTTTATTTCGCGTTTTATAAACTTCATGGCTATTTAAAAATTTGAGCCGCTGTCGGGGAGGTACCAGAAGTAGTGGTCCGTTATATCTGTTCTTCATATCAAACATTGTGTTAGTGGAAATATTAAGATGTGCGAAATTTGAAGACCATCGGACTCATATTTCACATTTGATAACAGTTATAATTGTTTCAAATTTTGGCCCTTTGTGGGGAAGGTATCAGAAGGAGTAAGCCGATACATCGCAACTTCGCACCAGGGAAAAAATTTGGATTTGTAAAATTTGGAGAGAATTGGATGGTTATTTCGTGTTTCATAAAAAATATAATTGTTCAAAATGTTCACCCATTGTTGGGGAGGCACCAGAAGGAGTGGTCCGACCTATCCCATCTTCATACCAGACCTAGAGTTGTTCGAAATATTGAAATATGCGAAATTTTAAAACAATTATTCAAATTTTATGATTATTATTAAAAAAAATTATTCTAAATTTTGGCGCTTTGTGAGAGAGGTTCTAGAAGGAATCGGTCTATATTGTCCATTTTCGCACCTAACCTAGCACAGATACAAATATTAGAATTTGCAAAATTTGAACAAAATCGATGATACGTGAGGCAAATAATTTTCTGTTAAAATTTTGAACTTTTTTGGGGGAAAGTACCAGAAGTAGTTGCCCATCTCCGAACTCGATCTAAGTTTGATAATATTATGATGTTCCAAGTTTGATCCAAGTAGGATACTCACTTCGAGAGTTATTGGGCGCACTAGGCAGACAAGCAGACAGACAGACGGACATCACCAGATCGACTCCAAATGTTCTGAAACGTATTTGGTTCAAAAACACCTAGGGTCTGAAACCGTTATGTTGATGAGGCACGTTTTGGCCGCATCAAATGATATATGCCCCCTCTAGCCATACGACTGAGGGTATAATAATTTGCAAACAGCCTTCTTCGGAAGTTTCGAAAATTTCTGAATTTCTGAAGTTTCGAAAATTTCGGTGCCTGGACATAATCCCCATTGCAATTATGTGGTTATGTTCGCCTTAAAAATGTGGATAATATGACCGTTTGCTGTGGGGCCTAAGGAAAAAAGGCTTAAGTTGATTTTAGGGTTATGCTCTGATTGACCTGGCATTTTTTAAAAACAGTTACAAAGTATAGAGAAATTATGGATCGGAAGCCGGTGTTGGACGTAACCCAGAGGTTACGTCCGTAGCCGTAGTCCGGCTATTTACAAAAGTTGAAAAATTTAGAAAAATCTATGGATCGGATAGCCAGGGTGTGTCCAAACCCCAGATGAGGAAATCTCAATTATAGGTCGAAGGCCTGATACTTAAAAAAGTCATAAATGTTGGATGCATAATAGTGGAAAAAATCTTAATTTCATGACATTTATTAATAACATCTGCGGGACTACAAGAAATATTAGCACATTTGGCATAATTTTGGAAAGGTAAGAGTTCAAAAGTTCCGTTACAAAAATACCAAATTTCTTATATTGCTTCAGAGCAGGTTCAATCCTGTTTTGTAGATCGGAATGAAACCCGAACTTTCGGGTCGAATAATCATAATCAGGTAACAAATTTCTACCACATAATGGGGAATATATCCGCAATTGTTTTGGACGTAATCCCTATCATTATGGGGATTAAGTTCTCTACTTTCTGGGGGTTAATTGTAATGGTGATTATGTCCGTGGGGATTATGACACGGCACCATAATCTTCAAAAAATGTTGAAGATTATCATCACATAATATTTACTTATTTCTCGAACAATCTTTTATTACTTTAAAAATTCGACCAGGGAATGAAAATAAAATCTATTTTATTTGCTATCAATGTTGGAAGCCCCCAAATGTCCAATTCCATTTTGGAAGATTTCGTTTTTTTTAAATGATGTCATAGAGCAGCAGGGTCCAGATATTACTTGAGGTATTTTAACTGAGGCATTTGCCCTATATTTACGCGCTACGTAGTGTTATTAGTTATTCAAAACAATTTCACATGAAAGTTGTGGTTCATTTTACAGCTAAATATAATCCAATGGTCATCCTAAGAGCCGACCCAAAGAACGACTGCAATTGCATCCCTAAAAAAATGATAGTCTTCTATTCTAGCTCTAAACCAAGCCCCATGCAAAATTTGATGAGGATCGGACGATAATTGCGACCTGTATATAAAACCCCCCAACACATAGTGTTGCGGGGTGTAGAATAAATTTAGAAAAAGTAAAATTTTATATTTTGCTATGTATCCGATATCTTGGCTATCGGTATCACTGTAACGGTCGGCAGTTACATTCTAATGTATTTTTAATTTCGCTGGGATTAAAAATATTCACGGTTTAGTAGAAATGTTCGTATTTTTTACATTAAAATTATGGTATATTTTGCCCGTTAAATATTGTCCGATGACCAAACCATATGTTGGGCTTCTGCCCAGCCCTAAACTCTAGTCCAATGCTAAATTCCGCGTCGATTGGTCTGTAAGTGCAACCTGTAGAGCAGCTGCAAAATCAGGAAATTTTTATGTTTTTGGTCCATATCAAGCAATAAACTGATATACATAATTATAACGACTCAGCTCAGCGAGATAGGAAGATCCATATACACTTTCCTATGTCGGGGAACAATATTTAAAGGTGTTTGCATAATTTTTGGAGATAAAAAAAACTGCAACAAAGTTAAACGCCATAATTTTTACATTTTCTTTTTAAATTTCATTGAATGAAAGCAAAAAATGTAGGAAATTGCATCAAATTTTAGAATAAGTTTTGATTTGTTCGAATTGGTCACCTTTGGCACGAATTATGGCCTAATGAGCTGTCACTGGAATAATTTTAAAAGCTGTCGGGCTGGTTGGTTGGTTGCAGTTTTTTCATCTCAAGGGAGATGTGAAGATCCATATATAGTCCAATTTTTGGCCACTTTTCGAGTAATGCTGGCCGTATGTCACGAATAACACGAACAATGCTGGCCTCCAAGGCGTCAATTGTTGCTGGTTTATCAGCATTAATCAGTGACTTCACGTAGCCCCACAGGAAATAATCGAGAGGTTTCAAATCGCACGACCTTGGAGGCCAATTGACAGGTCTTCTTCTCGAAATCAACTTATCGCCAAATTTTGATTTCAATAAGTCGATGGTTGCGTTCGCCGTATACCACGTATCGCCATCCTGTTGAAACCACATCTCCTCCGGATCAATGTCATCCATATTTTTAAACAAAAAATCATTGATCATGGTGCAGTAACGATCTCCATTGACCTTAACGCAAGCTCCGGCCTCATTTTTAAAGAAATAAGGTCCGATGATGCCACCAGCGTGAAAACCGCACCATATGGTGCATTTTTCTGGATGTAATGGAGTCTGTAGGGTCTCTTGTGGATTGGTCTCACTCCATATGCGGCAATTTTGCTTTTTAACAGACCTCATCGCTGAACACAATTTTGCGATAGAACAAGGGGTCATTTGCCAACTGCTCTAGAGTCTGATTTTCAAAGTAAATTTGGATAATTTCGTAGCGTTGTTCAAGCGTGAGTCTATTCATGATGATTTGTCAAAATATACTGAAACAAATAAAAAAAGTTTCATCAAACATTTTTGTGTTATTTTTTACAATTTAAAGTTCTATCTAGCTTAAAAAAAACACCCTTTATAAATAATCAATTTTTAGTGGCATATTTATTGGATTTTCTGCTTTTCTGCCAAGAGGACATACGGCTTCTATTCTAACCCTCACCCCAAGTCAATGCAAAAATTCGTGAGTATTGGGTCATAATCGCCATCTGTAGCATGATTGTACACACATAGCTAGATCGACGCAGATCGGCGACATAATATGATCCATATATAACATCGTGGGTCTGAAACCATCATTTCGAAGTGCAACAAACTTATACCCCCAACACATATTGTTGCAGGGTATAAATATGTTTTTTCTTAAATGAATGCTGAATAGCTGTAACACATTAAGAGAATAGTGTTTCTGATTCGGACTGGAATTTAGTCGATGTCTTATATCCATCAATAAATTTTTGGAAACTTTGGCTAATTACTGCACTTCTTCTTTGGCCTCTCTGTACTCTCTGTAAAATTTTGTTCTTAATTTAAACTTTAGTCAATAAGGGCTTTCCACGTCCTTTTTGGTGCCATAAATTGTAAAAATATGAAAATCACATGTCTCGTATAAAGCGAAGGCTGTGCTCAAATTATTCGAACATTCCATACGTCAAATTTAAATAGCTCAAAACTGTACATATGTGGTAATAGGATTTTCAAGTTTTCATACATAATTTAAGCTATTTTCTGAAAACTACTCATTACAAAATAAAAAAAAAATCACATCATTTTTTTATTATTTTTATTCAATATCATCCAGTTCAATCATTTTAGACACATAGTTTTTATTTTATTTTTTGGATTTAATGTCTTCATCTGCCTCCCTGTAAAATATATAAAGAATGCGTTTAATATATTAAAAAAAAAAGAACTACCGTATATCCCTTGGTCCTGTACTTACTAGAAGTCCTCCAAGCAGATCAGTAACGATGGTTAATATAGGCTCGGGTAATGGTTCTGGTTTTGGCTCCGGTTTTGCTTCAACCGAAACAATGGCCAACAGCATTGAAGCGGCAATAATGAAAACTTTGTTAAATTTCATTGTGATAGAAGGCGTTGGATGAGTTGATGACTTTTGAAAATTATTTCATCTTTTTATAGCTAAATGGAGTTGCACATTTCGTGCTTTCAACAGATGAAAAACAAATAATTTGAGGAATGGACTTATTGTTAAAAAGTCAGTCAAATGACAAATATGTAGACTTCATACACAGAATTGTTTTAAATTTGTGCACATTTGTTTAATTAAGGAGTCAAGGTTGTTCAATTGTTGTTTTTATAACATACAAAAAAATGCAACAGTAATTGGTAAAAGATAGCTGGAGAATTTGCTACCCTTATTTACTCATTTAGTGTCCTAAAAACAAAGCAACACTGGTAATGTTTGAAGGTCACTTTGAGAATCCCCCAAAAGTCTTTCATTTTTCCAATCTAACAAAAAAATGTGTGTGAATTATATTCAAATTTTTCGGAGATATATTCAAATCCCTCATTAATAAAGTACCCGGTGGATTGAGGAACCAGAGGAATGATTCTTTGCATCATAGAATATTATTAAATTATACGATTTTTTTATAAGGACTTACAGGGTGAGATAAAAATACCTCCAACAAAGCCAAACGCCAAAATTTTTACATTTTTTTAAAGTTATTGAATGAAAGCTAAAAATGTGGGAAATAGCATCAAATTTTAGAATAAGATTAGATTTGTTCGAATTGGTCAGATCTGCACGAGTTATGGCCTTTAAACGACCAATGAAACCGTCACAAGTGTGGTGTGCGCCTTTAAAAGGGGTAACCCTGAAAATAATTGATAGCTAGAAGAAGAAGAATGTTGCCAACCATTACTAGGAAACAGCTGATTATTCCAAATACTTAAATGTCAATAAGGGGGAATGATGTAAAAAGAAAATGGAAAAATTAAATAAGGAAAATGGCAGCCAGAATTTCCTGGCAAAAATTGTGAGAAAAATCTGTCCTTTTTACCTAACCCGTGAAGAAGATTGGATGTGGGGCTCTGACTAACCGAAGGAAGGAAAATTTAGCAAGATTCTGGTGACTTAAGTGAAAATTGAATTCAACGATTTATTTGGTTGAAACACAAAAAAACAACACAAAATACAAGCATCTTTAAGCTAAATATTAAGCCTTAAACAATGAAATTCAATTTAAAGGACTTAAAGGCTAAAAGTTATAAACTAATAAATAAATCAAATATTTTTCCGGGAGTTTTTTTTTGAATATAATTTTAAACTAAAATCTTAATCTAATCCTAAAACTAAAGAGAAATCAACTGAAAAACAAGTTTAAATAAATACCAGAAAATCTTAATAACAAATAAAAACATCATCAACATAACAAATATCCAGACCAGGAGCAACGAGCTACACCATCGTCCGTCCAATCCACAGAGGGAGGCGCAGAGTTTACGCCATTGCTGCTCCAGCGTGGCTTGGTATCATTCCCAATTGACAATGCTACTTATTTAACTCTGGACAGACAGACGGACGACTAAGCAATATAATTAAATTCCGCGGTTTTTCTTGAAAAGAAAAAAATTAATAAATTAGAAGGGTGAACAAAAGAGTTTTGGATTAAATTGAAATGAGAAATGAGCTCAATTCAAGGTTAGGTTACCAGGCACGCTGCCAGTATCACGGTAAAGAGCCATGGTAGGAGACAAAAAAGATTTATTCACATTCAAATGCTGGAGTGCTCTAACAATAGCCACTTGTGGTTTTCCAGCCAAATATAAAGAAATCACACCATCACGCTTGAATTCCATTACGAATAACTTTTTTTCTGGAAAATTCTCACCAAAATGCTTTTGTACGCTTGTAAACAATATAATGAGCTGTAATTGGAATAATTTTAACAGCTGTCGGACGAGTTGCTCAGAAATGACAGCAGTCTGAAATTGGTAGCAGTTTTTCCATCCCACCCAGTACATCAGAATATATAGACAAACTCAGATCGTGTTCCAAGAAGGACTATATCGGTGAATGCCTTCTGACACCTCCCTAATACTAATCAACTTTTAAAATACTCATAAATCTCATACAATTCACAAGATTATGTTTCTATTAAACAAAAAAAAAACTAAATATTAAATGTTAAAATTAAAAAAAAAATGTACAAAGAGGGCTCTAAGTTGGGCCGGGCTGAACTTTTAATGCCCTTCGCCACAATGTTTATCAAAGAAAATTAAAATAATGAAACGAATAGAATATGTTAACTCAGAATATCAGTCCGTTTAAATTAGAAGAAAAAAAAGAAAATAGCGAAGCCTATATTATCATGTACTTTTATTGAAAACTATGTAAAATACCGAGAATTGGGAGGTGCCGTTATATAAGGAGCACTACCAATTGGTGGAGTTGAAGTGAACATATTTTGCAGGAAGAGGACAGACCTTCCTAGAACCCCAATTTTTAAGTTTCAGCTCATTTGGTTGGAATTTGTGGCAGAAAACTTCAAAATATCGAAATTCTGGGGGTATCATTATATGGGGGCTATACCTATACCTGCATGTATTGTAAAAATTTGTGCCAAATTTCAGAGCTCTAGATTAAACAATGTAGACTCTATCGTGATTTCAACAGATAGACAAACCGACAGACATCGCTAAATCGCCTTATAATTTTATTTCGAGGTATTGCAGACGGAATGACAAATTTAATACACCCTTCATTGTATGGTGGAGGGTATAAAAAATATTTTTTTTTCGGAATAGCCTAGATGGTCATAAACAGAGGGTCCAGTTTCCATATATTTTTAACCATTTTGCTTGTAGTAGACCATATTTTATCCAAAAAAAGAGTAAAGAAAGTCCTAAAGTCGGGCGGGCCGATTTTATGATACCCTACACCACTTTGCTAATTTAGTTGAGCTCCACATAACAATAAAAAGTTTTTTATGGGAGAATTCAATCATACACCCTATGATTATAATTATAATTTAAAATTCCAAGGAGCATTTGTATCTTTTAAATTCGGACTTGTATTGCCCATTTGGTGCAAAATTAATTTGAAATCAGATAAAGATATATATGGGAACTATATCCAAATCTGAACCGATCTCGATAAAATTTGGCAAAGATATTTCTGAGCTGTATTTGATATATTTCCCTGAATATCGTTGTTACGGAGTGCATATTACGGCTGTGGGTAACAAATATGACAAATTGGATGAACAATATATATGGTAGCTATAGCTATATCTGAACCGATCTCCACCAAATTTGGCATACTAGCTTCTAGACTCAATTCGGTCGTATGTGCCATATTCCATCTCATTTGGGCAAATCTTAGACTTAATTTGGTTGTATGTGCTAAATTCCATACTATTCGGGCTGATATTACATGTTTGGTGCACAATAAAAGGCAAATCGGATGAAGATATATATGGGAGCTATATCAAAATTTTTACCGATTATTACAAATGATTTATGCAAAAATTTCATCTCAATCGGATAATAAATGCGACCTGCATATTGTTCACAAGAATACATGGACAGACGGACGGACGGACTGACATGCATAAATCAACTCAGAAAGTGATTCTATGCAGATCATCAAAAGGAACTATGGGTCTATCTCGTTTCCTTTTGCCTGTTACAAATAAATGCACAAAGACATAATACCCTGACCACCTTGTGGTGTATGGTATAATTAAGTGTACACGTTTTTTATGGGTTCCATATGACGCTACCCCCGGTTTAAGATTATTTTGTCTGTGGGTGGGATTCCTTCTTAAAAAACTTCAGGACGAAGGGTCGATGTTTTCCCAGAGGCCTTATTTAAGCACCAGCGGATTTCACACATATTCTTGAATATGGCCCTATTTTGAATTCCGAATTTTGGGTAATTAGTCCCCATATAAAAGTGCCAATAACTTTTTAGGGAAAAACCTATGCAAATTGTCCTCACCTGGGACTAACCTTTTTGAAAACTGCGAAACATCTCTTTACGAAATAATGGAATTATAAAGTTCATTTTGACACCATTAAATATTTGTAGTACATCATCATTACCCCATAACCAAAAAAATTTCCTCCAGTAACCAATAAATAAGTTCAGAACTTAACGTTGCGGTTCCATCCACTGTTCGATATTTTGAAAACTGATCTCACTTATGTACCAAAACAGTACAAAAAAATTGTTTTCAAAATCTGTGGGCAAATATGATCCCATCTTCGGTTTTCGCCAATTTAAAAATTAAACACACATTTATTTTGCCTTTGTTTAGTTTAGAATTTTTATTTAAAATCGTCCATTTCAATTATACAAAATTTTGGTTATCGCTTTTAATGAATTCCTTTATCTGCCTCCCTGAAAAATATAAAAAACATTTATTGTAAAAAAAATATAAAATAGTCCTCTCTTTTAGTACATACCAGAAGACCGCCAAGCAGATCAGTAACAATGGCTAAAATAGGCTCAGGCAATGGCTCTGGTTTGGGCTCGGGTCTAGCTTCAACCGAAGCAATGGCCACAAGCATTGAAGCTGCAATAACGAAAACTTTGTTGAATTTCATTTTATCTCCAAAAGAGTTAAAGGATGATTTAATGATTGTTCTGAAATGAGATGGCTTTATATAGCGAATTAAAATTATTTTCTAATGAAGAAGCGGCAATGACTAGAGTGCATTTTCTTTGTTTAGAAACGGATCAGTCGAATGGTAAACATATAAAGATGTCAGTTATTTGTTTTAAATTTTGCAAATGCACTTAGGCTCATGGTTGAAGGTTATTCAATTGTTTTTGGTGTTTATAATGAAGTATTGAAAACAGAGTAAGGGATTAGCTATTTTCCCAAATTATGCAGAAAATATAAGAGATTGTTACTCTTTCTTTGACATACAGTGGTGTGAAATGAAATAGAGTCGCTCGTAACCCAGATAGAAACATTTAAAAAAATAAAATTTTTTGAAACTTTTGTTAACTTTTTTCTTTTGGATATTTTATTTATGTACAAACATAAAATATTACAGTATTCACGTGGTAATTAAAAACATAACACAACAATAAAAATAAAAATACTTCAAAAAGACAAATTTTGGCTGTGCATTAAAATAGAGTCATGTAACTTTTTTTTAAAATTCCTGTACTAATAGAAACAAATTAATTTAATTCTCACTTATTGTTGATTAGTACTTAGTAGCATGACCATTATTTTTTATTACTGCTAAGCATCGTCTTGGCATAGAGTCCACAAGTGCCTGGCAAGTCTTTATTGGAATATTCTCCCACGCAGCTTTGATAAATGTCCACAGGTCATCTTTATTAGAAGGATTCTTTCCTTTAAGAGCCACTTTCACTTCTCTCCACAAATTCTCAATGGGATTTAAGGCTGGCGACTGAGCAGGCCAGCTTAAAACTTCGACTCCATTGTTTTCGAACAAAGCTTTTGCCCGCTTAGACGTGTGTTTCGGGTCGTTGTCTTGTTGAAACGCCCATCTAAGCGGCATATTCCATTCAGCATAAGGCATCATAGTGTCATTTAAAATTTCTGTGTACAAATTGGCGTCCATAACACTCTCAATCCTATATATAGGCCCAGTACCATAGTAGGAAAAACAGCCCCAAACCATTACATTTCCTCCACCATGTTTAACGGTTTTGATTGTATATTTAGGATGAAATTCGGTATTAGGAGGTCTTCGGACAACAGGTACGACTCGGTCAGAGTTAAACAAATTTACTTTTGTTTCATCTGACCACAAAATATTTCGCCACTTGTTCGCCGGCCAATTCACATGTTTCCTGGCGAACTCCAATCTTTTTCCTATGTTTCGTTTTGAGAGGAACGGAACTTTCCGGGCACTTTTAGCCTTTAAATCGTATTGAATTAACATTCTTCTTATTGTAGATGTGTCAACATTCAAATCATACTCTTTTTTCAATGCTGAAGATGTAACAAAAGGGTCCTTTTTGACATGACGCAATATTTTTCTTTTTGTTTGCTCTGAAATTTTTGATTTCATTCCCCTTTTTTTCTGGTTTTGGCTTATACTTTAGAGTATTTTCGACCATTTTCTTGGAACATTTAAATATTTTTGCAATTTCGCTGTAGCTTTTACCTTCATTACGTATTTTTTTTATTGCCTCCCGGCGCTCGTCAGTGCAATGCTTTCCTCGTCCCATGTTTGGACCTAATTGATTATTTTTACACACGTTACTAAAAGAATTATATAAGAGGAAGACAAACTTACCATTTAAAATATATTTTATCACGAATTCACTGTTTTAATTTTAAATTTTTAGTTTTTTCCTCAGTTGACTCTATTTTATTGCACACTATTTTCTATAGGCACCAACATACAATCACTACGCTAGGCCAAAGCGTCGCTTAGCTTATAACAAAAATAACGGGATTTTATTTGTGAGGGATCACATCAACAAAATATGACAGTTGTCAGCCACAGATTTTTTGCATACTTGATTAAAAGCCGTTAGAAGTTTAGAAGAGTGGATGACTCTATTTCATTTCACACCACTGTATACAACTGAAGATGAAAAGATGGATGGGGACGTTTAAAATGGATGTTAGTTCATTGCGATGGAGACAAAGGTTATCTGAAACATGGGTCATTTTCCCACTTTTATACCCTGAGTCATATGACTGGAGAGGGTGTATCATTTGATACGGCTAAAACTTGCTTCATCGAAATAACGGTTTTATACCCTTGGTCTCCTTGTACAAAATCCGTTTCAGGCCATTTGGAGTCGATCTAGCGATGTCCCTCCGTCTGTCTGTTTGGTGCGCATAATAACTCACAAAGGGAGTATCTGAGTCGATCCAAACTTGGTACATAGTAATATTATTGTTTATCTTAGATCGAGTTCGGAGATGGGCAATATCAGTCCACTCCTTCTGGCAACTTCCCACAAAAAGTCGAAAATTTCAAAAAAAAAAAAAAAAAAAAAAATATTTTACTGCACTATCCGATTTTGCTCCAACTTGGCAATTCCTAATATTTCCATCAGTGTTACGTCAGGTGCGAAAATGGACAATATCGGTCCACTTCATCAAATTACACACATCCCAATATTTTTATTAACCTGGTGTGAAGATGATATATATCGGTTTACTCCTTTAGGTACCTCCTCCACAAAGGGTCAACATTTTGAATATTCATGAAGCTCATAAAACCCGAAATTGGCCTTCGATTCCTTCAGACTTGGCACATCTCAATATTTCCATCAACATAAGATCTGTTATGAAGATGGTAGAGATCGTACCATTTCTTCTGGTACCTCCCCGCCTAGGGTTCAAGATTTTCAAACACAAAACTCTCAAAGAAAGCGAAAAACGCATCAAACACACATACAAACATTTCGGCTAACATAAGATCTGTTGGGAAGATAATATATATATCTGGGAACCCCACTTCTGATACCTAACCCACAAAGGGTCACAATTTTTCATACTTTTATCTGTCATAACTTGCGAAACAAGTCAGCGCTTCATTACAACTTACCGTATCTAAAATGTTTGCTCTACCTGAAACCAGAGATGAATTTGGAATTTATCATTTCACATAAAAATGTATCTAAACGTTCGATTTTCTTGTAATTTTGCTCAAACCAATATTTTATCTGTATTAGATGAAGTATTAAAATGGAATACTTCGGTCAACTAGCTTTGGTAAATCAGGCACATGTAAACATTTTCTGAAAATGATCGTATACCTCATATAAAGTGAAGGAACTGACCAATACAGTCAAGGGTCATAAATTTGAATAATCATAACAGAAGTCATAATATATTTAAATAATTGAACATTGGCTGAGGATATACATTTGTCGGCAAAACTGACAGATACTTTTTAAAATAAACTTTTTAACCTAGGAGCGTATAGTAACATTGTCATTCCGTTTGTAACATCCCCAATTATTCATCGTAGGCCCCATGAAGTCTATATATACATAATCAGCATAAAGTTCTAACTCGATTTAACAATGTCCACCTGTCTGTCTGACTGTCCGCCTGTCTGTTAAAATATCGATACAGCCCATATTTTTTGACGTAGAGCGTCAACATTTAGCAGAACAATTTGTATTGTGTCTAGGATGGTGGTTGGTATTGAAAATCAGATACATCGGTCCACGTTTTGGTACAGTATTCGGTATTTCAATGATTTTTGCCACATTTTTACATGGATTTGTCTAAAAATTGGTATTTGTAGGGTATAATGGGTTCTAGCTCGTGTGGCGAAAAATTTTAAGTATAGTTCAACGTTTTGGTATTGCTCCCATATAACAGTACCTGCGGATATTCCATATTTTGATAAAAATTGGTATTTTTAGTTCATAATGGGTTCTAGCCCGGTTGCAGAAAATTGGATATTTAGTTCCACGTTTTCCTATAGCGCACATATAACGATACCCACCGATATTTGGTATTTTGATAATCCTAGTCACATTTACCCACATAATTGTTTCAAATTTGGTATTTTAAAAGATTTGATAGATGACAATCCTTGAAATATAAAATTGTCTATAGAGGTTCCCGTTTTGATATGGCCCCATATAACGGCCTCACACATTTTATGGTTTTTATACCCTATACCACAAGGTGGTCAGGGTATTATGTCTTTGTGCATTTGTTTGTAACAGGCAAAAGGAAACGAGATAGACCCATAGTTCCTTTTGATGATCTGCATTGAATTACATTCTGAGTCGATTTATGAATGTCCGTCCGTCCGTCTGTCCATGTATTTTTGTAAACAAAGTACAGTTCGCATTTATTGCCTTATCCAGATGAAATTTTGCACAAATCATTTGTTTAGTCCAAGGACGAACCCTATTGAAATTGGAGCTAATCGGTCAAAATTTAGATGTAGCTCCCATATATATCTTCGTCCGATTTGCTCTTTATTGTGCACCAAACGTGTAATATCAGTCCGAATAGTATGGAATTTTGCACATACAACCAAATTAGGCCTGAAAATAAGTATGCCAAATTTGATCGAAATCGGTTCAGATGTAGCTATAGCTCCCATATATCTTGTTCATCCGATTTGTTATTTTTGTCCTCCGCAGCCGTAATATGCACTCTGTAACAACAATATTTGGATAAATATACCAAATGCAGCTTATCTAGATCGGTTCAGATTTGGATATAGCTCCCATATATAACTTCGTCCGATTTACCTTTGATTGTGCACCAAACGTCTAATATTTGCCAAAAGGGGATGAAATTTGGCACTTATGACCGAATTGAGTCTAGAAGCTAGTATGTCAAATTGGTTCAGATATAGCTATAGCTCTCATACATACTGTTCATCCGATTTGTTATATTTGTTACCCACAGCCGTAATATGCACTCCGTAACAACGATATTCAGGGAAAAATATCAAATACAGCTCAGAAATATCTTAGCCAAATTTTATCGAAATCGGTTCCGATTTGGATATAGCTCCCATACATATTTTTATCCGATTTCAAATTAATTGTGCACTAAATGGGCAATACAATTCCGAATTTAAAAGATACAAATGCTTCGGCATATTTAGTCCCTTGAACTTTAAGTTATAATTATAATCATAGCCTGTATGATTGAATTCTCCCATAAAAACTTTAAATTGTTATGCGGAGCTCTAAATTAGTAAGACTTTCTTTACTGGTTTGATAAGTTTAACTGCATTTGGAAAACGTATTGTATACTAGTATATGAAATTTAAAGTGAAACGCGCTTGAATTCAAATAATTTTATTAGTATTACAAGTTCGTCCCGGTCGAACTTAATGTTTTTTACTTGTTTTAAATGTAATTAAATATGTGGAAGTTCCGGAAAGAACGCAGATATTCGCTTAAGTTTTGCATTTGCATAAAAACAACGAACACACAGACATAAAAAGTGAAATTAGAAATATTTTCTTTCTAATTTATTTGACATTTTTTTCCTTTACAATAGTGTTCATTTCTCATTTTCATAAAATAGAAATCCTGCCCCAGTATTGAGTTCCAGGTCATTCTATCATTTCCTTTGTTTTTAATCAAAAGTGAACAACCTTTAATATTGGGATATCCCCCTTCAACGAAAATAATAAACAATAAAACATTTGTATGTTGTACCCATAATATAATCTATTGATATACGTATCAATATTTAATAAATAATTTACTTCGTATAAACAAAAGGTGTCTGTGTTCTATTGATTTTTAAACAATTATTAAATATAACATTTATTTTGCTATATAAACCGCAACAAAAATTCTTACCAGACATCACCAGTTAAACACCTGCTGAAATAATTAAAGCGATCATGAAATTCACCAACATTTTCGTTATTGCCGCTGCAATTATTTGCGCCATTAGCTCGGCTGAAGCTAGACCTGAGCCGAAACCAGAACCATTGCCCGAGCCAATTTTAAATGTTGTTACTGGTCTCTTGGGCAGCATTTTGGTAAGTTTCTGAGCTAAATTTATTTCGAAATGAATATTAGATGTCAATGATATTATATCTTTTCTACAGGGCGGCAAATAATGGATGTGGCTTAACTAATAGCGGTTCAGATGATTGCAAACGATACTACTAGATAACAAAACAATAAAAGAAAAATTGGATTTAATAAAACTTGTTGATATTTTTATTAAACTGTATATTAGGGAACACTATTTAATAGTCACAACACCCAAATGCATTTGTACTTTTACCATTTTGATGGACATAGCTCCCATATGACGGTACATCCTGATTTTCAACCAAATTAGTAATTTTGGGTTCGCCGGAGGTCGCAAAAAAAAATCAATGAAGATCCACTTTTCGGTATAGTCGACAAATAAGCGTTCATACAGATTTTCGGTACTTTAAAGGTTTCTGCGCCAATTCTAACCGAATCTCTTATATTTTCGCCTTCTCAGTTTAACATGACGCAATAATATGTCATATATAGATGCACAATTTGATTTAACCCCCATATTACCGTACCTATTGATTTACGAGAAAGACGACCCAATTTCTCACCAAATTTGCTGTATTCAGGGTTCTTTGTGAGTACAGGGTGAGATAAAAAAAAAACTGCAAAGACCATAATTTTTACATTTTTTTTAATTTTATTGAATGAAAGAAAAAAAAGGTCGGAAAAAGCATCAAATTTTAGGTTAAGTTTAGATTTCTTCGAATTGGTCACGTCAAACGGCCAATGAAACCGTCACACGCTGCCCGAATGTTGCTCTGCAGTATTTTGGCCCATTTCCGGCAAGCTCTTGCTTAAGGTGATCGACACTTTGGTATTTTTTAGTGCCAACCTTGCCTTCCAAAATACTCCAGACACAATACTCCAACGGATTTGTAACCGTAGAATTTGTGGCCATTGTGCGCTGGAAATGAAGCGAGGAACCTCATTTTGTAACCCTTCTTGGGTGGTGCGTGCTGAGTGCGATGGTGCTAGATCCTGTTGGAATGTCCAAGATCTGTGGCCAAAATATTTGCGTGCCCAAGGCTTTAATATACCCTCCAGAATATTTTCGCGATAATATTCGGCGTTTATTCTGATGCCACGGTCGATTAATACGAGCGGAGAGCGACCATCGGCTGTTATGGCGGCCCACACCATCACCATGGCTGGCGCTTTAGTTCTGGTGGCCAACCGATCTCTCGACTTCGAGCAATTTTTCGGCCACTGGTGGTCAGGGTATTATGTCTTTGTGTATTTGTTTGTAACAGGCAAAAGGAAACGAGATAGACCCATAGTTCCTTTTGATGATCTGCATAGAATCACATTCTGAGTTGATTTATGCATATCCGTCCGCCCACCCGTCCATGTATTTTTGTAAACAAATTACAGTTCGCATTTATTGACCGATCCAGATGAAATTTTGCACAGATCATTTGTTTGGCCCAAGGACGAAACCTATTGAAATAGCTCCCATATATATCTTCGTCCGATTTGCCTTTTATTGTGCACCAAACGTGTAATATCAGCCCGAAATGTATTGAATTTTGCATATACACCCAAGTTAGCCCTGACAATAAGTATGCCAAATTTGATCGAAATCGGTTTAAATATAGCTATAGCTCCCATATATATTGTTCATCCGATTTGTTATTTTTGTCCTCCGCAGCCGTAATATGCACTCTGCAACAACAATATTTGGGGAAATATATCAAATACAGCTCAGAAATACATTTGCTAAATTTTATTGAGATCGGTTCAGATTTGGATATAGCTCCCATATATAACTTCGTCCGATTTACCTTTTATTGTGCACCAAACGTCTAATATTTGTCTAAATGGGGTGGAATTTGGCACTTACGACCGAATTGAGTCTAGAAGTTAGTATGTCAAATTTGGTGAAGATCGGTTCAGATATAGCTATAGCTTCCATATATATTATTCATCCGATTTGTTATATTTGTTACCCACAACCGTAATACGCACTCCGTAACAACAATATTCAGGCAAATATATCAAATACAGCTCAGAAATATCTTTGCCAAATTTTATCGAGATCGGTTCAGATTTAGATATAGCTCCCATATATAGCTTTATCCGATTTCAAATTAACTGTGCACCAAATGGGCAATACAATTCCGAATTTAAAAGATACAAATGCTTCGGCATATTTAGTCCTTTGAACTTTAAATTATAATTATAATCATAGCGTGTATGATTGAATTCTCCCATAAAAACTTTTAATTGTTATGTGGAGCTTTGATAAATTAGCAAAGTGGTGTAGGTATCATAAAGTTGGCCCCGCCCGACTTTAAGACTTTCTTTACTGGTTTTTATTATAGTATCTTTTGAATTATTTAAGCGTTTGAAATGGTAATTAGCTCAAATTGTTCATCGCTTGTTATTGGTGAAACAATTATACAAATAAATAAAAATCAATTTGCCGTTTTTTTATTTAATGTTAATATTTATTACATTTTTTTTATCATCAGCCATCAATGTCCAGCTATATATGCCCCTTATCTACCACCCTATGGGAAAAATGGGAAAAATATTACAAATTTTGTTACCAATTTTGTGTTTGAAAAAATCTTACCAAAATATTGCTCAATAAACCAGTAACAACATTCAAGATAGGCTCGGGCAATGGTTCGGGTTTTGGTTCGGGCCTAGCTTCAGCCGAGCTAATGGCGAAAATCATTGCAGCGGCAATAACGAAAACGTTGGTGAATTTCATGATAAATTTAAGCGTTTCAGCAGGTATTTAACTGATGATGTCTGATGTGAAATTTTGGGTACTTTATATACCAATATGCATTTGTTAACACTCAATAATCAATTAAAAGACAATCGAAAATTCTTATTGTTTATATGAAGCCAGCCCCTAAACAATATGGAGTTCTATTGACTTTTAATATATTATTAAAGTAAACATCGTTGGTTTTGCTATCAAAAATAAATAGACGTCATGCGACACACCTGTTTTTTCATTTATTTGTGTCATTAATTTTATTATTTTAATTTTTGTTCTGAAAAGAAATTGAATAAACGAGAAGCTTATAATAGGGTTTGGTCAACCTTGACACTCTAGATAATGTGGGTTATTGTTAATGTTAGAATCCATTTACTGACGAAAATGCTGTCCTGTGTCAGCAAAACATGTTAAGAAAGAAGAAAACAAAGTTTACAAGGCTGGGCCGACCATGTGGTATCCCAGATCAGGATCGTGTACCTTCTAGCCGAAAATAATCTTCTTCATGTAAAATATACAAAATATACAATTCCTAAACGATATAATGTTCTTATAGATAATGTTCAAGAAACTCCATCTTGATATAAATTCGTTAAGCAGTCATACAGATTTTTGTTGATCAAAAAATTTATGAAATCTATGGGATCTCCGGCAGATATTTCAGTGCACTGACCCACATTTGTCATATCCCTCATTTGTTGCTGGATAAACAATTACGCCCGGCCGAAGGACTAGTATAAGCTATAAAAGTGGATTTTAAAGATTATTTTTCGAAGGCCATCAGGTATTTATGATCGCCATTTTACTGGGTCTAGAAAATACAGAGATCGTGTATTTTTATACCCTCCACCTTGGAAAGGAGGGTATATTAACTTTGTCATTCCGTTTGTAACATCCATAAATATTCGTCGTAGACCCCATAAAGTATATATATTCATAATCAGCATAAAATTTTAAGTCGATTTGAAGATGTCCGTCTGTCTGTTGAAATCACGATACAGCCCACATTATTTGACGTAGAGCGCCAAAATTTAGCAGAGCTATTTGTATTGTGTCTAGGATGGTTGGTATTGAAAATGAGATATATCGGTCCACGTTCTGGTATAGTCCCCATATAACGGTACCTCCCGATATTCGGTATTTTGATTATTTATGCCACATTTTTTCACGGATTTGTCTGAAAATTGGTACTTGTTGGTCATAATGGGTTCCACCTCCGGTGGCGAAACATTGCATGTATAGGTCCACGTTTTGATATAGTCCCCATATAACGGTACCTCCCAATATTCGTTATTTTGATGATTTTTGACACATTTTTTCACGGATTTGTCTGAAAATTGGTATTTGTAGCCATAATGGGTTCTAGCTCCGTTGGCGAAACATTGTATGTATAGTTCCATGATTTGATATATCCCCCATATAACGGTACCTCCCGATATTCGGTATTTTGATGGTTTTCGCCACATTTCTTCTAAGGTTTCCTTTACCCTAAGGTGGAGGGTATTAACAGTTTGGCCCGGCCGAACTTAATGTTTTTTTACTTGTTCACTGTAATATTCGATCTATATCTATTAGTGGTTATAATTGTTGATTTTTTAAATTAGTTTTCAAAACGAAGATCAGAGAATGTTATGGTTGAGTTTTTGAGAATTTTAATGTAGACTTTCAAAAAATATTTTGAAGAGGATATATAAGTGGATTTTTTTCTTTTTTTTTTTTTGTTGAAGGACCATCGTATAATGTTATTCATTATTTTTTGAAGGACTACTTGTGGATTTTATTTAAATATTATTTGAAGGAGAATCGAATGATAAATATACAGTTTTATATCCTCAGCCATATGGCATAAATCTTTTGATACGGCCAAAACATGTCTAATCGAAATAACGAATTTAGACACTAGATCTCTTTGGTCCAACTCCCCTTCAGTATATTTGGAAACGATCTAGCATTGGTGTGGTGCGCACGATAAATCTTGAAGGGAGTATCCGATTTGGTCCAAATTAGGTATATCGTAATATCATTACGATAAGATCGAGTTCGGATATGGACAAAAGGTCTTACTTTTCAAAGCACAGAAAGAGAAACGTTAATCCAATTTTGCTCCAATTTTGAAAATCCCTCCCAAGTACCTCCCCACCACAAAGGGTCAACATTTTGAATAATTAAAACACTAATAAAATGTGATGAATTAACCCAAGATCTGGTGGGAAGGTGATATATATCAACCCACTTATTTCGGTACCTCCCCCACAAAGGGTGAAAATTTTGAATATCCATGAATTTCATAAAACGCGAAATAAATATCCGATTCCATTCGGACTTGGTACATCTCAATATTTCTATCAACACAAGATCTATTAGAAAGATGCTAGATATCGGGCCATTTCTTCCGGTCCCCCCCATACAAAAGGTTCAAGATTTTGAATAAATATAACTTTTAATAAACGTGATGTAAGAGTCCGATTGTTTTAAAATTACACACATCGCAACATTTTTATTAACTTAAGGTCTGGTTTGAAGATGGAATATATCTGTCCACTCCTTCTGGTACCTCCCCCACAAAGGTTTCAAGATTTTGAAAAAAAAAATCAAAGAAAGCGAAATGAGTATCCAACTCTTTTCAAATTTCACACATACAAACATTTTTGCTAACACAAGATCTGTTGTGATGAAGACATACAGGGTGAGATAAAAAAAACTACAACCAAGTCAAACGCCATAATTTTTACATTTTTTTTAAATTTTATTGAATGAAAGCAAAAAATGTCGGAAATAGCATCAAATTTTAGAATAAGTTTAGATTTGTTCGAATTGGTCACCTTTGGTACGAATTATGACCTTCAAACGGCCAATGAAACCGTCACACGCTGCCCGACTGATCTGCGGTATTTTGGCCCATTCCCGGCGAAGCGCTTGCTTGGGGTGATCGACAATTTGGTATTTTTTAGTGCCAACCTTGCTCCAGACACAATAGTCCAACGGATTCATATCCGGAGATTTTGGTGGCCATTGTGTGCTGGAAATGAAGCGATTAACCTCATTTTGTAGCCATTCTTTGGTGGCGCGTGTTTAGTGCGATGGTGCTTAGTCCTGTTGGAATGTCCAAGGTCTGATTTAACACACCCACCAGAGTATTTTCATGATAATATTCGGCATTTATTCTGATGCCACGATCGCTTAATACGAGCGGAGTGCGACCATCGGCTGTTATGGCGGCCCACACCATCACCATGACCGGCGCTTGAGTTCTGGTGGCCAACCGAAGTTGCACACGAAGCAACTCTTTAACTCCTTTGAGACTATTTTCTTTCTGTTGCGGTGTAAGTTCTTACACTTTTTGGAATTTCAATGGCTTTACCCCAAACCAATTTTTCAATTTTTGCCGAATGGAATATCAGCTCACGAGCCATTTTTCGGCCACTGCGACGCGTGTTTCGATCAAGTATCTTCTTTACTTTTTAAACCATTTCTGCTGATGTTGCTGTTCTCTTCCGTCCACTTCATTGACGTCGGGCTACCCTACCAGTATCACGGTAACGAGCGATGGTACGAGACACGAAAGGTTTATTCACATTTAAATGCTGGAGTGCTCTAATGATAGCCACTTGTGGTTTTCCAGACAAATATATAGAAATCACACTTTCACGCTTGAATTCCATCACGAATAACTTTTTTCTGGAAAATTCTCACCAAAATGCTTTTGTACGCTTGTAAGCAATGTAATGAGCTGTCACTGCAATAATCGTGTGTGAGTGGTTCAGAAATGACAGCAGTCAAAAGTTGGTTGTAGTTTTTTCATCTCATCCTGTATATATAAAAACCCTTACATATTTGTTTTGTGAAGAATACAGGCTAAATATATTTGTAGATTTTGGTATGAACAATAAGTGCGTTCAATAATAATTATTTGAGTTGTCATTGTTAAATAAATACATTATTGCTACCATTTGCTATAAAAACCATTGGACTTCTGACACCAAACATCAGTTCAACAGTTTTGTCTTCACTATCCCCAAATCAAAAATGAAATTCAACAAAGTTTTCTTTATTGCCGCAGCCATGATTTTATCCCTTAGCTCGACTGAAGCTAAACCCAATCCAAAACCGGAACCCTTACCCGAGCCCATTTTGAATATTGTCACCGATCTTCTCGGCGGACTTTTGGTAAGTACTTAAAGTATGATTTCATTTTATGAGTATTACTATCATAATATTTTTATTCTTTTTTGTAGGGTGGAAAGTAAAAATATCGAATACAGTTAAAATTTTTTCTTAAAGAAAAATCAGTTTTTTAAAAATAAAGGAAAGCCTAGTAACCACTTTTTGAAATGATTGGTCTTTGGAAATTTCTAAATATTTGTTTTAATGCCAGAGTTTTGGGTTTACATTGCCGAAAAACGTTTTTTACAAACCAAGCAAAAACTTTATTTTATACGACAGGGCTGATTTTTTTGGACAATTTACCATATGAACATTTAAGTTATTGTGTGTCGTAAAATTTCTAAAATTTGAGAGGGCTGTGGGGTATATTGAGTTACTCATTTGGATTTTCCAATATTACAAGGACCTTAAAAATCACAACGGGGTTTATGAAGCTTATGTGAAAATTTTGAAATATATTAAAAATTTATTGTAAGATAAATTATCATCCCATGAGAGCCCAATTTACAAAAGTGCAAGCAATTCGGTTGGAAAGTTTGGCTAAAGCCTTCGCAAAATACCAAATAACAAGAGGTATGCTAATTCTGAGGCTTTATTACCTAGAGGGCCTTTTATGTCCTGTAACAACATTAAACGCCAATCAAGTAAATAAGCAGCTAAGTTCGGCCGGGCCGAACGTTTAATACTTTTCACCATTTGGAAGGAACGTGGGGACTATACGATGACGTGGACCTGCATATGAATTTTTTTTGCCATAGGCTGTAGTACCCATTACGAACCTTAATACGAAATTTGTTTCAATTACGGTGAATAATGTTGCAAAAATCATGAAAATACCGAGTATCGGGAGGTCCCTTAAATAGGGGTGCTATACGAAGACGTGGACCCGCATGGCCCATTTTCAATACCAAAAGTCCTGCAGACATAATATGCATTTGAGTAAAATTGTTTCAACCTACTTCATTTCGTTCGGAAGCTAGAGTGATTTCCACAAACGGACAGACGAACAAACGTACAGATGGATGGACATCACTAAATCGACATACAGGGTTGCCCATATTCGACGGACCCATGTTTTTTTTTTTTTTAATTGTGCCCTTTTTGCTGCATTTTCCATCGTTTTTGCCAACATTTCGGCCGGAATAGCGGCTATTTCTTGACGAATGTTGTCCTTGAGCTCTTCTACGGTCCTTGGCTTGTTAACGTAAACCTTTGACTTCAAATATCCCCACAAGAAGAAGTCAGGCGGCGTCAAATCGGGTGAACGCGGTGGCCATTCCAAATCACCACTTTTCGACATCAAACGGCCCGGAAACAAATTCTTCAGAAAATCGATTGTTATGCGACTTGTGTGCGGTGGGGCGCCTGAATAATTGGCATCACAAAATTGGTCATCATGTCGCGAAAACGCTCCTGATTGATGGTAACAGCATGGCCATTTTCACTTTGGAAGGAAAACGGTCCAATGACCGTGGCAGCGATATTCTCGGCCGATCGCCTTGGTCGACTTTTATATGGCCTCTTCGGATTAGAAAGAGCCTTACCAGTCGAACATTTTTCGTATAAACGCTTAATGGTGTTCTTAGAAGGCGCACTTCTCACATTTTTAATGTTTTAAAAGCACGTTGAGTTTTCACAATTGGCTTCTTCTGTTGAATGTAAATTTCAACTATTTCAGAGCGCTCGCGTGGCGTGTATTGTTTCATGGTAAAAATCTGCTTGGACTGACGCTTCAAACGCGGTATGTCATTAAGCGATGTGATATCTCTGTCAAAAGTTATGGCGTTGCCAGATGGGTCCGTCGCATATGGGCAACCCTGTAGAATTTTATGCTGATCAAGAATTTCTATACTTTGTGGGGTCTAAAATGTATATTTCGAGGTGTTACAAACGGAATTACAAACTCAATTTACCCTCCATACTATGGTGGAGGATATACAATTTTTTTTTCTTATTTAAAGTTTCTGCACAACCTCCTTACAAAGACCATGGTTATTCAATAATGGGAATATTAACGAGTATTGTTGAATCTTAACCTCTCTCGCAAGCCCTAATGTTTAATAGACGACGTTGATATACCCTACACCACAAAGTGGTAATTGTATTATGTCCTTGTGCATTTGTTTGTAACATGGACAAGGAAGCGAGACAGACTCATAGTTACTTTTCAGGAATCACTTTCTGAGTCGATTCATGCATGTCAGTCCGTCCATCTGTCCATGTATTTTTGTGGACAAAATGCAGGTAGCATTTATTATCCGATTGAGATGAAATTTTCCAAACAACATTTGTTTGACCCAAGGACGAATTGATGAGAATCGGTTCAAAATTAAATATAGCTCCCATATATATCTTCAACCGATTTGGGGTTTAAAGACCCTCACACACGTAATATGCAGTCCACAAGAATGATAGTTGGTACCAGATAACTTTTGGAGCTCAAAAATACCACTGTCAAATTTTCTTGAAATCGGATCATATTATAATACATACCATCAACCGATTTCGAGATAGTTGTACACCAAATGGTTAATATAAGTCCCGAATTTTGGCACATACCACCGAATTCAGTCTAGAAAGAATTTTGAGAAAATCGGTTCAGATATAGCTATAGCTCCTATACACATGTTTCATACGATTTGGAGTTTAAAGTCCCTCACACTCCACAACAATGATATTTGATACCGGGAATCAGATGCATCTCGAAAATACCTCTGCCAAAATTTATCTAGATCTGGTCAGATTTTTATATAGTTCATCCGATTTTACGGTTATTGCTCACCATATATGTAATATCAGCCCAAATTGAATAGATTTTTTTTATATTTTATAGAGCTCAGGAATACCTCTCTCAAATTTTATCAAGTTCGGATCAGATTAGTATATAGCTTCCATATATGTATTCAATCGATTTCGGGTTAATTTTACTCCAAATGGTACATCCGACCGAATTCAGTTTAAAAGCAAGTACATTAAATTTGGATAAAATCGGTTCAGATATAGTTATAGCTCCCATATATATGTTTCATCCGATTTGGTCCTTAAGTCCCTCACATTCGTAATATGCATTCGACAACAATGATATTTGGTACCAGATATTCTATAAGATATAGAGCTCAGAAATTCCTCTGATAAATGTCATCAAGGTCGGTTCAGATTTGTCAAAAATTCGTAAATTTTGATACGTCCGACCGAATTCAGTCTAGAAGAAAGTACATAAAAGTTGGAGAAAATTGTGCATCAAATGGCCAATATCTGACCAAAAGTCCTGAGTTTTGGTACATCCAAACTAATTCTGTCTAGAAGCAAGTACATCATATAGCTCCCATATATATGTTTCATCCGATTTGGTCTTTAAGTCCCTCACATTCGTAAAATGCATTCGACAACAATAAGATTCGTATCAGATATCTAGAGACCTGATATCCAAGTTTATTGTGCAAATAATGGCGAAATCAGCCCAAATGGAGTGAATTTAGGGACGTATGTTTCCATTTTGTGGAACTCGGCTCCGATATATGTTTTTAATATTATCTTTCACGAAGTGATATGCTGCACTTTATAGCAATGTAATTTGGTATAAAAGATTAAAATGTCTTTGTCAAATTTAGTGAAAATCGATTCAGAATTGGATACGCCTCCCATATATAAGTTCCTTCTGAAACCAAATTATAACTGCTCTAAAGCCAAATGTTGATAGGTGGTATGATCTACTTTAAATATGTTTTTTTTTAATGTTATCATAAAATCACTGTGGATTTCATACAATTTCGAACTTAACTTCTTTTTTACTCAATTTACATTTTAAGATTCCCTCTTATAAGAACCTTTCCTTCTTGACATTCACCCTATGGCATTAACATTTCCAACTGGAATGCTAACACCAGTGTGCCACACACTCTTTGGAGATTGTATCCTGTTAACTCACAACATAACACAGCCAACCCCCCAACGAACACCCATTCTGTTAACTGCTGCTATCAATGAATTAACATTGCTGTTAATGACGCGTTCACAGCGAAAAAGGGGAGTTCGAACGACCAGCAACAACAATAACATTGTTTCTGTTATGGACTTGTGGCCATGCTCTCTTAACACTTTAGTCATTCTCGCAGTGAGTTTGTTGGCATGCGGTTCGTGCGTTTTCTGAAAGCGGACGGTCATTTCAATATATAACAAGCAGCAACGTTGCTGATGTGCAGCTAGGCTACTACCAAAATACAAGAGTAAAAAGTGTGTGCGTGTGTAGTGTAGTGTGTGCTTTTAACTTGTTGTTCTTTTTATTATTGTAATGATGGTGATGTTGATGTGATGTGATGTTGAATAAAAAATAAAGTATGAAAGAAGAATTTTTATCTCACCAAAAGAAGCGCAGTGTCTAAATCAGAAATAGTTCAACGTGGAAATTCCAAAAAAAAAGAAAGAAAATAAATTAAGGAGGGTAGGAGAAAAAAATCAATGAAATTGCTGGCAGCCAACACCATAGCTTTTCGTCCCTTAAAATCGCGTTGCACAAATGAAAATAAGTTATTGCAAAGCTGCTATTGAAAAAATCAAAGGAATTTGAAAAAGCAAAAAATAATATTGAAAAATAAATAAAAAGCAGCATTTTTTATCTATCGAATGAAGCCCAACAAAAGTGAGCAATAAAATTTCGTGTGTTTTTTATCAAACGGTTCTTCTTCGCTGTTGGATATGCTTGCGGTTGCGGTCGCGTTCTTCGTTGTGCCATCCAAAATTTATTGCGAGCAGAGCATTCGTTTTGCGGTGACATTCACTCTACGTTCTCGTTAAAGTGCGAAAATCTAATTAATTTTCAATGAAGAGGTGTCGGGTGCTCCACTAATGTTACGAGTGGCTGCGTATGTGTGTGCGTGCGTAATATGTGTCAATTCGTTCGTGTGTGTAATTAATAATTCAATAAATATCAAATGGCCTGACACAAAATCGCTGTTTGATCATTTACATAGTACCTACAGTGGAAAAGAATAAAAAATAATAATAAAAATAAGAAGAGGACTACAAAACAAAAATTTGTGTTTATTTAAATGCGTATTGAGGTCATTTATCAAAAAAACAAAACATCGTCAACGGCCTTAAACAACAACAAATATCAACGTCATCTTCTACTACACAACCAACGGCAGCAGTGACGGCGGCGTCAACCAACAAATAGTGAACGTCAACCTCTGAGGAGACGACCCCCATTAAATTGTTCATTAGAACGGTCACATCAACGGCGCTTCGGCAGCAGCAGCAGCAAAAGAAACAACAACTACCACACGATAATCATTCAAAACAAATTTTACAAGTGTCACACAGTGTAACGTGTTTCGTCGTGTTCGTGGATTTTTGGAGCATTGTTGTGTTTTTGTTTTCCTTTGGTTTTCTTTCAATTTCTCATTGATTGTTGGGGCCACCGAGAGAGAGAGAGAGAGTACATGAAAAAGAGTGAAGTGCGAGAGAGATTCATTCGATGTCATGAGAAGAGAACGTTACGGTTTAATTTTGGGGTCTGAATAAAGTGTTGCAAATAATAAGAATAACAACACTAATAATAACAACATAAACAAATCGCAAAATAAAAACAGCTGCTGGCCTTTTTTGTTGTTGTATCTTTGAATGGTTGAAGAGGATGTTAGTTAAACGGTACGTCATCCACAAATACCTATTCTGTGGAGTATACAAACAATGAGAAAACTATAAATTTAGATGAGTGCTGGTGTACTTTAATGAAAGAAAGAATGAAAAAAACAACAAACGAATTATCATTGAGATTGAATATCAAAATCGATAAACGCAAATGAATGGTGTTAGACTCCGGAATATGGCCAGCAGGTGTAGATGAATAATTAAATACGAAAGATAGCAATAAAAGTGAGTGAAGAATCGAAAAGCGTTGGAATAAAAGCAAAATAAACAAAACGTATGGAATAGAATGAATAAATAATATATAAATAACAAAGGCCATTATTAAATGGAATAGAAAAATGCAAGTCGAATACAATAATAAAGTGTGAAAATTTGGAAAAAAAATAAATAAATATAATATAAAAATATTAAATGTGTGTGTAATATCTGAAAAAAAATTGTTTGGTGTTAAAAATTATGTGCTTTTTTAAATGCAAAAATTATTTATTCTAAATTGCAAATAAAATCATAATTATTAAAATAATAAAAAATCGTATTAAAGAAAATAAACAAATTAAAATGTCTTCGAATTTTATTGTGGAATAAATCAATAAAAGCATACTTGGAGACGCAGAAGTAATAATAGGTTGGTATTAATTAATTATTAGTTTTTATACCCTCCACCGTAGTATGGAGGGTATATTACGTTTAATTTTCCGTGTGAAACACATCCAAATATACATTTTAGACCCCACAAAGTATATATGTCCTTGATCAGCATAACATTTTATGTCGATTTTGCAATGTCCGTTCGTTTGTCTGTCTGTGGAATTCACTCTAGCTTCGGAACGAAATTAAGTAGGTTGATAAAATTTTACTCAAATGTGTATTATGCCTGCAGGACTTTTGGTATTGAAAATGAATCATATAAGTCCTCGTTTTGGTATAGCCCACATATAATGGTACCTCTATTTTTTCGGTATTTTGTTGATTTAAGCGGCATTATTCACCGGAAATGTTTAAAATTTTGTATTTGAAGTTCGTAGTGGATACTGCAGCCTATGACAGAAACTTGTCTGTTAGGTCCACGTTTTAGTATAGCCCCCATATAACGGCACCTACATATATTCGGTATTTTGATGATTTTAGCTACATTATTTACCAAATTTTTTCAAGTTTCACATTTGAATAGTGTAATGGATTATGACAAAAGTTGCCTATGTAGGCCTAAGTCATCGTATAGACCCTAATATAACGGCTACTTTCGGTATATTTAAGATTTTACAAAAATTTTTTAACGGATTTTATTTTTTTGAAAATTGCTAAAATCGTTCCCAATGATGGAGGGCATTCAAAGATCGGCCCGGCCGAACTTACAGCTTGTTTACTTGTTTGCCGGTCCACGTTTAAATTTGAAATTTTTTTTTAAAAAATACCTACTTCGATGTTCTAAAATGGATTTACATCTGAAACAGTCGTAATTTGGGGTAAAATTTTGAACTTTTGATGTCTTTTGAGACCTTTGGTAGAATTCAAAAAAAAAATTATCAAATTATTCTGCAGAATAGTTTGACTTGCTACGATCCCGTTTAAGATTTTTGAAAAAGAGACAAAAAACTGGAACAAAGTCAAACGCCACAATATCACGGAAACGACCGATGGTACGAGACACAAAAGATTTATTCACATTTAAACGCTAGAGTGCTCGAACGATAGACAATTGTCACACTATCTCGCTTGAATTCCATCACGAATATCTTTTTTCCTGGAAAATTCTCGCCAAAATGGTTTTGTACGCTTGTAAACAATATAATGAGGTGCTACTGGAACAACTTTAACAGCTGTCGTACGAAAAATGACAGTTTGTTGCAGTTTTTAATTATTATGTATATATATATATATATATATATATATATATATATATATATATATATATATATATATATATATATAAATATATATATATATATATATATATATATATATATATATATATAAATATATATATATATATATATATATATATATATATATATATATATAAATATATATATATATATATATATATATATATATATATATATATATATATATATATACATATATATATATCATCGTATCAAATGTTACAACCCTTTCTTGTCATAAACTCTAACCTCTTTCATGCACTAAAGTTTCGACATTGGAGGAATCTGGTATTTGGGGTGTATGAAAAAACTTAGAATATTCTATACTTAACATGGTGTAGAGAGTATAAAAGTCTCCAAGATTATCAATAAATTTACTTTGTTATAGTTTTAATAATATAATTATAATATCTTCATCTGATAATTGAAATCATGCTTACGCCTTTTCTCAACATCTTACTTAATTTCTTTCTTCTTATTCCCATGATAAATAATGTGACATGTTTAAGTCCTTGTATCCAATCTCGATATTTACCACATGCTATCAGTATTTATTTAAACCCTAATAATGTTTTGATGATCTTAGTCTGAAGATAAATTTTCACTATTTTTTAACATAAAATATTCCATTATATTATATTTTACAATTTTACCTAGAATTCTGCTTCCATTACTGTTATCCCAAAATTCATATTTCTGTCAGAACTCTTACCTAGTCCACGCTGAATTTTTTCTCGTTAAACTAATTCATATTAATTTTGTAACATGGTGTTAATTTGTTGAAATTACTCTGCATTCATTCTTTACATTTACATTCAACGAAGGAAAATATGGTATTTTGTGTATTTTTATGATAATTGCTCCATTCACCTACTTTCGTTTATAGAATGTATGAAATTCATTTTTGTCTCTCTCATGCTCTCTCTATCTTTTTATATGTGTTCTCACTGCATTTACTACGGCCCCACCAAAACCCCCCATCACACAAACAGATGAAAAAAAAAACATGCTAGCGCACATGAATACCCATACATGCCAAAAACAAAATACCCAAAAACAATAATAATAATAACAACAAATCCCAATAGACTTAGCAGAATACCAAACAGTATTAAGGCAAACAACAACAGACCACAACAATTTGTGTTTTGATAGCTCTGAGAGTTTTCAACTCATAACAACATAAAATTTCTCCATTGGATTGGAGCCATAACAAGAGAGCAACAGTATAATGTTTATTTTTTAACATTGTTTCATCGATACCGGTCTCCCAAAAAATAAGTGCTCTCTCACAGCAATGTTGTCAAATCTCTTTCTCTCGGAGTATCCCATTTCAGCTGGGAGCCTACTATACTACACAAAATATACGACACACGACAATTCATTGATTTTTTTCCTGTAAATGTTTGTATACAAAAAATGTGGAAAGCGCAACAGAAGAGCAAATCAAACAAATTAAAAAATTACGTAATTAATAAATTATAAATCGAAATCTAGTCAAGATGATTTCCAAATTAAAAAAAATTTAATTTTCTAATTGGAATTTTTGGTTTGGGGCGACATGAAAATGCATTGCTTTTGAAGTGTGTCAAGTGTTGCTGCCAATAAGAAAATCAACTCATATTTTATGGGGGGCTCTCTTTCTCACTCACTTACGCTCTCTCTGTCCCATACAATTGCAGTGCATATCCAAAAATAACCACACTGCATCTTCTTGCTTGCATTCCCTCTGCGATTTTTTTCGTTTTTGACCAAATAAATACTGACTGACTGACACTGCTGCTGTTGCCGTAGCCGAGAAGGCTGGCTGTAGGCATTTTTAGTGACTTGTTTTTGCTGGCTATCACATTGTGTGTTTGTTTTAAAATTGATTTGTTGATGTACTTTGGCTGCAGTCAAAACAAGAGCCGAGCCGCACACAAAACTCATGAATTTCATTCACACTTTTCAACTTTTGACATATGTGGGGCGTAGTGTAAATGGAAATGTAAATGAATGTAAAAGGGTAACAAAGGAATGTAGTGAATCAGCTGTGTGGCCTAAAGAGGGGAATGTAGTTATGTGAAATAAATACAAATAAGGACATAAAATTTAATATTGTACTAATTATGATGGGTTTTGGAATAGGGAGTTGTGAACTTTTAAAGAATATTTTTGAAGACTATCCAAGGATGTAATTGCATTTTCTAGGAAATATCCTTAAAAGGCAATTAAGAATATTTCCAAGGATTATTGAAGGACATAATCATGATTTTTTAAAAATATATTTTTCCTTTTTTAAATTGTTTAAGGACCCGCCGAAGTGGTTTCCCTGTCCTTGTCAAATTCTATATATTCCTCGGAGGATATATATCTTTTGATACGTATTACAGAACAATAACGTGTAACAAAACAATAACGGCTTCAAGTCAAACACCTCCCGTACTAAGTCCGTTTCAGAACATTTAAAGTGGTTCCGTCCATCTGTCTAACTGATTGGCTTGTACGCACGATAAATGTCGAAAAGAATATCGGATTAAATCCAAACATGACAGTTCGTTATTTTTATACCCTCCACCATATTTGTCATTATTTTATTTGTCATTAGGTTTGTAACTCCTCGAAATATGCATAATAGACCCTACAAAGTATATATATTCGGGATCAGCGTAAAATTCTAAGAGGATCTAGCGATGTCTGTCTGTTGTAATCACGCAATCTTTCGAACGAATTGGGATAGAAGGCTAAAATTTTGCATACATGCATAGTTTACCAGTAGGCAGGATAAGTTCGTAAATTATGTTCCACGTTTGCGTATAGCCCCCATATAACAATGCCTCCCGATATTTGGTGTTTTCATGATTTTAGCCACATTATTTATCGGAATTATTTCATGTTTCATATTTAAAGTTCATAATGGGTACTACAGGTCCACGTCTATGTATGGCCACCATATGACGTCACCTCCTGATATTTGGTATTTTGATGATTTCAGCAACGTTATTAATTGGAATCGTTTTAAATTTCGTATTGAAAAATCTTAATGGGTACTACAACCTATGGCAAAAAATTTTGTATGTAGATCCACATCTTCGTACAGCCCCCGATATTTGGTATTTTTATGATTGTAGCGACATTATTTACCGGAATTATTTCCAATATCGTAATTTTATGTTTGTATGCAGGTCCACGTCTTTGTGTAACCCCCTTACAACGGTACCTCCCTATAGTCGGTATTTTTATGATTTCAGCAACATTATTCGCCGGAACCGTTTCAAATTTCGTATTTGAAGTTCGCAATGGTCAGGTCCATATATCATCGTATAGTTTTTATTTTTCATTTCATTTAAGTGGTAGCTTTCGGATTTTTTTTTTAATTTTTCAAGTTCTTTCGAAATGATGGAGGGTATTAAAAGTTCGGCCTGACCGAACTTGCTGTGTTTATACCCTACACCACAAGGTGGTCAGGGTATTATGTCTTTGTGCATTTGTTTGTAACAGGCAAAAGGAAACGAGATAGACCCATAGTTCCTTTTGATGATCTGCATAGAATCACATTCTGAGTCGATTTATGCATGTCCGTCCGTCCGTCTGTCCGTCTGTCCATGTATTTTTGTAAACAAAGTACAGTTCGCATTTATTGCCCTATCCAGATGAAATTTTACACAAATCATTTGTTTGGCCCAAGGACGAACCCTATTGAAATTGGTCAAAATTTAGATATAGCTCCCATATATATCTTCGTCCGATTTGCCTTTTA